TTTCTCGAGGTCCTGACCGAGGGGCTCAACAGGGTGCTCCTGGTGAGGGGCAGCGGCCGGGAGGTGATCACCATCTACTCCTAAGTTCCCCTGCAGTGCCCTGTGGTCCGGCCAACTAGGCCTAGAGGCCTCCTTGAGTCTGGGCTCACGCCCCGGGGTGACCAGGACATAGCCACCTCATAACCATGCAGTGACCAGTAACACCGCCATTTGCCGCCACGCTGGCTATGGTCTTGGCCATGCCGGCCATGCCAACACGCTCTAGAAACCCTTTTCTCAGCATGACCTTCACGTCCTGGTGGCGGGCAGGTCAGGCCCGCCCCGTCCAGGCATCCACAAGAGACCACTCTGATGCAGCTCTGCGGCCCACGTGAAAGAGACAGGCGTGAGGGCTGGGCACTGGGCTCCCGCTTGGCCTCCCGTGTCTGAGAGGGCTGTTCCGGGCTGCACGGTCACCTCATGGACACTGAAAGGGACCGGTCCTCGGGGTGGGGCTGGGTCTCAGCCTCCCCGGAGCCCCATGAGCAGGCTCTGGGAAGCTCACGTGGACCACTTGGTCCTCACTTGAGCACTGACAGGTGAGAATGCAGCTGGGATGGTGCCCGCTGCGGGAGTTCCAGCATCCCCGGGGAGGGCGGGGGGACCTATGTGGGTCGCATGCTTTCCTGGACTCTGCACTTTACTTGGCTCTGCTTCCCGGGGTGGGCATGCCTGTGGGGGCTGGGGTCCCCACCCTCACTTATTTATTGAACTGCTCAGGCAGAGGAGACCCCAGCGCCAGGCATGGCTTGAGGGGTGCAGCCTGCGCTGGACCCCACCCTGGGCACCTGCACCCTGTGCTCACCTGGGCCCCCCACCCCACACACAGGGCTGGGGAGCCCAATCCCAGGACCAACCAGTGAGGTCGCTGCTTCCTGGCGTCGATGGCGGCTCCCTGTCCCTGCCCAGCAGGGGCCCTATGCCCTTTTGTAGGTTACACATCTTTGTACGATTTTTCATAGAATAAAAATTGTACGGAACCGCCTGTGCCGCTCAGGATTTCCATGGGGTGGAAGCAGGGCCTCAGGAGGGGAGGGGGCGGGTTCTCCCAGGAAAGGCTGCCCCCCCCCCCAGTGGATCCTCTGCCTTTTCGGGCCTTCAGACACGGGCACCTGTGCATGTCCTGCGCTCAGCAGCAGGCAAGAGAGTGTTCGTGGGGTTGGAGGGGGAGGGTAACTGGGGACACTGGTGATGGAAAGCATGCACTGGTGAAAGGGACAGGTGTTGTACAACTGTCTCAGTGATTGGAGTTTCTGAAGTAGAAATATTTAAAAAGTTGTCCGTGGAGAGGCTGGCACGTGACTGTGTGGGTGAGGGTGGATGGCACCTGGTATTGGCACGGGCCACCAGATGTCCTTGTGCCAGGGTTGTCAGCAGTGGCACAGGCTCAGTCTGACGGGGTAAGGGAGCTGCCTAGACCCTGTCCTGGGCAGCCCAGCAGTGGCCGGCCCAATGCCCCCACCAGCTAAGGGGACTGGGGCTAGACCTGCTCAGTAAAGCAGCCAGTGGCCGGGTGGGCCCGTGACCCAGCACTGAAACCCACGGCTTCCCAGGGAGAACAGCGTCCCTGCACCCTGCCCCTTTGCCCCAGTGCAGACACTCAGAGCGGCTGCATTTCTCCAGGGGATCCCACTGGCCCCGCTGTGCTGGGCCACAACCTCCACAACCCTGAGCTTGACAGAGCCAAGATTTTTTTTTTTTTTTTGCCTTTTGGGTCACACCCAGTGATGCTCAGGGGTCACTTACTTACTCTGCACTCAGGAATTACTCCTGGTGGTGCTTGGGGGACCATATGGGATGCCAGGGATAGAACTCGATAACACCCCACCCGCTGTACTATCGCTCCTGCCTCCAGATCCAAGATTTTTTGTGTAATTTTGTTGTTGTTTTGGGGCCATGCCAGGCAGTGTTCAGAGGTTACTCTGGCTCCACACGCAGGAATTGCTCCTGGCATTGTTCAGGGCACCATATGGGATGCTGCTGTACTGTCTCTCCAACCCTTTGATGTTTTATCATTTGTTTTTTGGGTCACACCCAACAATGCACAGGGGTTACTCCTGGCTCTGCGCTTAGGAATTACTCCTGGCAGTTCTCAGGGTACCATATGGGATGCTGGGAATCGAACCTGGGTCGGCCGCGCGCAAGGCAAACACCCTACCCGCTGTGCTATTGCTCTAGCCCCCCTACCCCCCTTTGGTTTTTGAATTGGATCACTGAATTGCAAAGTCACAGTACTTATGATTTCCAGGCGTACATTGTTCCAACATCAGTGGCCATTACCCTCCACCCATGTGCCGTTTCCCCCCTGCTCTCCAGTCTGCCTCTGTGGTAGGCACTTTCCCCTTCCCCTGTCCTACTGGTCCCTTCCCTGGCTCATCCCCACTGGCCCCAGTGTCGCACTTCCCACCCAGCACCAGCAATCCTGCTCTTCCTTTCTCGTGCCACTGAGCACTGATATTCCCACAAGGTTTCTTTATACCCCGCATCTGAGGGATCATCCTGAGCCTGTTCCTCTCTCTCGGGCCAATTTCACTCCACAGGACCTGCTCCAGATCCAACTATGTTGCAGCAAGTCAAGCAAATCATGAAAATCATCTTTTCTTAGGCCAAGTAGTAATTCCACTGCGACTATATACCATAGACAGGCCCTGGAGTTATTACTGCAGGAGCTCCCGTCCCATGAAGTAGCCAAGGCTCCTGGAGGGACGTGCCAGGAACCAGCAGGGCAGGTGGCCACTGCCCGTGGGGCTGGAAAATTTCAGAACTGAGAATGTTCTAGAATGTGTGCTGACCCGCTAGTTTTCAATGGTACAAGGCTCAGTGGGCAGTGCTGGACACAAGGCTCCAGGTGCCCTGGTTGGCACTGCCTGGTGCTGCTGGCACCCAGGTGGGCTACAGGGCAGGTGCCATACGTAGGGTGGTGCCCGTGTCCTGTGTGGCTCCCCCACCACGGGCATTGTCTTTTTTTTCTTTTTTTTGCTTTCCGGATGCACAGGGATTGCTTCTGGCTCTGCACTCAGGAATCACTCCTGGCAGTGCTCAGGGGACCATATTGGATGCTGGAAGTCGAACCCAGGTTGGCCGTGTGCAAGGCAAAGGTCCTACCCGCTGTACTATCAGTCCAGCCCCCACAGGCAGTGTCTTTGCCGTCGTGCTCTACTCTCCCTGGGTCGCCCGAACCTTACGGCTTGGTTCCCACAGGCCCTGCTCCAGTCTCCTGGGCCAGTTGGTGCCTCCTGGATGCTCCATGCACGCAGGTGGGGAAGGTGTTGGGGTCCTGTGGGGAGGGTGTTGGAGTCCTGTGGGGAGGGTGTCAGGGTCCTGGGGAGGAGGATGTCGGAGTCCTGTGGGGATGTAGAGGTCCTGTGGGGATGATGGGATCCTGTGGGGTATTGGGACCCTGTGGGGAGGGTGTCAGGGTCCTGTGGGGGGAGGATGGTGGGGGCCTGTGGGAAGGTGTTTGTGGGGGGCCTGACCCTGCCTCCTGCTGGGGCGCTGGCTATCTCACTCATCTGTCCCCTTTTGCTGCTTGTCCTGGAGGACAGAAGTGAAGGAGTCCCAACCCATGTGGCGGGGTCCCAACAGGGAAACTGACCACATTAGCCCCAGGAGGTAGCTGTTCCAGTGCCCGTGGTGCAGAACCTTCCGGAACTTTCTGCTCCAGCAGGATCCGGCTCGGCTGCTTGTCCCGTTGGACTGAAAGGGGCCTTTGTGCGTGGATGCGCTTTGGCAAAGGAGCGCCTGGAGCTGGGGAGGCGCTCCCAGGTAGGGGCAGAGGCTAGCAAATATTTGCCTTCAGCCCCCGCCTCGGGCCAGGGTGGAGAGCAGGCCCTCCTTCCACAATTCTCCTGGCACTGTTCAATACCACTTGCTGGAAGCGTGGACCCCTCTCCAAGAAAGGCTGGACAGATGCTTGGGGCCAGGGGCAGAGCCCGAGCTGCTCCCAGGACTGAGCCTGAAGCGTATGGAAAACCCAAGGCGTGTCTGCACCGCCCCCTGGTGGGGTGTCAGAGCAAGGCCGGGCCAAAGCTCTGCAAGCTCTAGTTCCAGACAGGCTCCACCTGCCAGACCTAGGAAGGCCCTGGAGGAGACATGCAGACACGGCCCATGGGCACACGGCACGGGCACGGCAGGCACACATGCACATAAACACATGCATGCAGGTACGGCAGGCAGACACATGCAGGCGCGCACACGGGCACATGTGCGTGCACGCACACACACAGGCATGTCAAACTGGCTTGCATACACACGACTGCAGAGGCTGTGGGGCCGGAGAAGCGTTTAGCCTCGGTGGCAGCTCACTTGGGGCTGGTGCTCTGGGCACTGGGCTGGGGCCCTCCGTCCCCCTGCAGGAAGCTTGTGTCCTATCTCTCCACTCAGTCCCAATCCCACCTCAGTCCCTCACCTCAGGGCTATTCCTTCTCACCCGGGACTGGACTCCTGGAATGATGCAAACCTGGCCCACCCTCTCCCACCATCTCTGCTCACACTGCCACAATACATTAACTCAGGCTGAAACTGACTCAGTGAAGTCACAAGTTAGGTAGTGAGAGGAGAATGAAAATGAGATTCTGCTTTCTGTGCTCAGGGTCCACACAGGATCAAACCCAGGTTGGCCACTTGCATGGCAAATGCGCTAGCCACCATACTATTTTTCTAGCCCCAAATGAGAACATTCTGGAGAAAGCTTTAATTTTCCAAGCTCTGTTAACAAAAGACCACACGTTCTTTAACAAACACAAGGGCAAGAGGCCGAGCAGTGGCCCTATGACACCAGGACAAGGCCTGCAGCCTCTGGCTAGAAACCGCCGGCACCCCTTAGTGGATCCAGCCTCAGGCCCCACCCAAACTGGCTCCCAGATGCGCACCTCAGGGGCAGCGGCCACAGGCACACCGAGACTGCAAGATACAGTGGCAGGGGCGGAGCCAGAGTCCTGACATGACCCACTCATGGGCGAGGGGCCCTCGAGGATGGGGCTGCCCATATCCCATGGCAGGCAGCTACGTCACGTGCAGGACGACAGCTGCTTCTTCTCCTCAAACTGCTTGTCCACTGCCAGTGAGAGGGCCTGGAGGAAGCCCTCGATGGTGACCGTGGGGGCCTGGAAGGAAGGGCAGCAGGTGGTGTGGGTCCTCAAGGGTCCACGGCCACCCGCCGGTGCAGGGCTGAGGTGTTGAGCTGGACAAGGACAGTACGGGGCTCACCTGGATGTACAGGGCGTGGGCCAGGAAAGGCAGCTTCCGCAGGACGCGGCCACTGAGGCCCTCACTCTTCCTGTGGGCAGATTTGACTGGGTCTGTGATGGGTGGGTGGGCGGCCGAGAGCCCAGGACCTGCACCTCCACCACTGCCCGAGCCCTTCATCTTTCCCAAGCTCCTTACCTGGGGCTCTCCCAGAGCCCCGCAGCTGGCTCACCTCGACAATCCCTGCTCCCATGGCAGATAACACCATGAACCTCACCCCTCCCCCTAGCCCTGAAAGCCACAGCATCCATGCTTCCTTCTGCCCACTTCTCAGGCTCTGCAGCTGGTACTAAGGGCCCCCTGACCCTGCCAGGCCGCACCTGGAGATGTCACTCAGCAGTAGACTCAGCCTGGACACGTTGTTCTCGATGAAGCCGATCATCTCCAGCTCACGCAGCGTCAGCAACTGCTGCCGCGGGTAGATGATCTGGCACTGGGGGACAGGCCGGTCAGGGCAGGGGGCAGCACCCCGCAGGCCGGTCAGAGCACGCTTGCCTCTTGGGGATGTCCTGGTGTCCAACCCTGGTGGTGGGGCCTGGCTGCTCCATACCCCCCACCCGCCTGTGCCCAGCTTGAGGCCCACCTTCATCAGCTCCTCCAAACACGAGAGGTAGATCTTGAAGATGGCAGCGGCTGAGGGCGGCCCGATGTACTGCCTGATGTCCGCACGGTCCACAAAGGCCAGGTCGATCTTCTCAGTGATGTTAGACGTGGTCAGGATCACCACATTGGAGTGCCTAGAAGGGCGGGTAGGCTCAGGCCTGCAACCCCCTTCCCCTCACCCACCCGTGTCTGCCTGGAGGATCATGCCCAGGCCCCAGCACCGAAAACTGAGTGGCGGGGGGGGGGGGGGGGGGGGGAACAGAGGGCTGCCCCCAGGCCGCACCTCTGGATCTGGTCGATCTGGGTGAGGACTGCGTTCACCACACGGATGGCGTCGGAGGGCTCTGCACTCGCCCTGCTGGCGCTGCGGGCAGCGGTGAGGCTCTCCACCTGCAGGGCAGCATGGTCAGCGTGTGTGTGTCTTGGGCCCACGTATTTATATGTGCTCGTGTGCATGTGCCCACACAATGCATATGTGGATGCGTGTCTACCTATACAGACGCACGTCTGCCCACTCACAGATCTGAATACGCATGCGTTGTGTGGTGTGTGCATGTGTGGTGTCTCTGGCCAGGGCTTAGCTGTTGGGTCCCACCTCGTCGATGAGCACAAACACCAGCCCGTCTTTGTCATCGATTATGTCCTGAATCTTCTGGAACATCTTGGTCACCAGCTTGCCACTCTGGAGGGGAGTGCGGGGCTCAAGGGCTGCCCAGAGCCCCTCACTCCCACCACCCGCTGCCTCCTAACAAAGGCCTGTTGGGGCCACTTCCTAGGGGACTCCAGGCTGGCAGGGAAGCGTGTGTCTTCCTCTCCCTGCAGCTGGCACAGTGCCTAGGAGGCACCATGGCAGTCTTCCGCCGCAGGCCCCTCATCCACCTCCCCAAGCTCCTGAGGGACCCTCCCTGGGCGCCTCACCTCTGAGAACCACTTGGAGAACAGGCTGTGGCTGTTGATCTCGATCAGCTGCCCATACCGGAACCTGCACGACACAGGCAGGTTACCACCACCACCCGGCCCCACAGAAGCAGGCGAAGGCTGAGCCAGACAGTCCCTCAGCCTGGCTAGCAGCCAGCACCAGACCAAGAGGCAGATGTGGCCCCAAGCCCCAGGGCAGAACCACAAGTCACCAGCACAGACTCACTCCCGGGCTCTGCAGCTCGGGTCACTACCATGCCGTAAACCCACCTGGACAAGGCAGAAGTGACAGCCCCAACCTGGCACTCAGCTGGGCAGGGAAGCCCACAGGAGGGGAGAGGTAGCTGCACCCCTGCTCCAGGACAGTAGGGTCAAAAGCGCAGGGGGGCGGCAAGAGAGGTGCGGACAGGCTCACAGCCAGTACTACTGCAGAGGGCTGGGGGCTGAGCCCTGGAGAGTAACTCATGCCCACTCATGGCTTTCTGCTTTTGTCTAGTTGCGGCCAGTGTGAACACAGGGGTGAAGAGCCCACAGGGCATGGCCAGAGCTTCAGAACATTCTAGAAAGCACTGTTCTGGGGGTCACAGCCAGAGCTCCAGAATGTTTCAGAAAGTGCTGGCCCTGTGTTTTGAGAGCACCCATGTGAGCAGCTCTAATTAGGGCTCCTGTGCTCATGACTGAGCGTGCTCTCCACACCAGTTTGAGGGACTGGTGGTCGCTCCTAAAGGGCCATGTAAGAGGTAGGACCCTGAGCTGCAGACAGCCTGAGGGAGCCCCGGACCCCACATGGGCTGAGACCCTGGGCAAGATGGTCAGCTCAGTGGGACCCTCACCTCATCCCTAACAAACCAGGGCAGGGCAGGTGGTGCAGCAGGTCACGTGGCACTCAAAAAAAGGGGAAAGACACCGACTGGACAAGGGTCAAATGAGGCAGGTGTGATGACTGGACACCAGCCTGGGGCCCAGGGGCCAGCAGTGCCCCACCAGGGTAGGGGGTGCAGGCACTTCTGCCGTCATGTACCTGCCGGAGAGCCGAATGCTCAGCTTCTGGGCCAGAGCTTTGCACAGTGACGTCTTCCCGGTCCCTGGGGGCCCTGGAATGGCCAGAGGGGTGGGGGGGAGGAAATGGTGGTCAGCAGCAACTCAGTAGGAAGCCCCACCCCGTCCCCTTTGCCTTGCGGTCCAGCCCTACCATGCAGCAGCACCACACGGTTCCAGGCCACCAAGTTGCTGTCCACCTTCTTGTCTGAGAACAGCAGTGTCGTCATCATGTAGTCCAGGAGCTGGGTGGGCAAGGGCACTGAGGCACAGGGACCGAGGAGAGGGGGAAGGGAGAGCGAGCAAGAGCCTGGGCTTGCAGGTTGGGGATGGGGACAAGGCCACCCTGTGGCCCAGTCTGGGGCTGGTACCCAGTAGAAAATGTGGGAACCCCAGCACAGGCCTCGCCGTGTTGAGGGTCCCCTGGGGTAGCCCCAGGTAGGGTCCCTGAGGGCTCAGGGGTGGGAGCGGGCTGTCCCCTGGGCGACCCTTCTCCTGCGGGGTTCCCTAAAGGACAGAGCCCAGAACATGGCACTGGTAAGCAGTCTCCATGCACCCTCCAAAGGCAGGGACGGGCACAACACCCCCACGATCACGGGACTGGGGACGGGGCAACAACTCACATGTGACTTGACCTCTGCGTCATACACCAGGCTGTCCCAGAGCCCGTGGAACTCGGCTGTGGGGACGAGAGCCCATCACGGGGCAGGCGACAGACCTGAGAGAAGCCCCCCTCCCCCCCCCCCCACAGAGTTCCCTTCCCTAAAGCACAGCACAGGCATCACACCCACTCCTGAGCACTCAGCAGTGTGAGCTGTTCCCAGGTGGTCCCCAAGGCAGGTGGGCACCGAGGTCGGACCAACCACACACAGCCCAGGGCTGGCCCCACACCTGCCGGCAGCACCCAGTGGTTGGCGGCGACGATGTTCTCGGCCTCTTCCTCCAGGTTCTCACTGCTCGGGCCGTCCTCATTCAGCTGGAAGATGTGGAGTGCCACGGAGCAGGCGCTCAGGTTGATGGGCTGCGGCAGAAGAATGCAGTGGTGGGAGCTCAACCAGACCCCACAGGTCCAAGCCTGCTCACGCCCACACATGTCCTCTCCCCTCTGCCCAGAAGAAGCAGTCTAGCCCTGGCCACCAGGCACCAGCACAGCCACACCAGAGACAGCCAGCACTGTGTGACAGGCACCTCGGGCCCAGCATCGCCCACACCCACCTGGGGATGCGCACCTGCTCTCTGCCTGCCTGCAGATGGCACAGTCCCCCTCCCAGCTGAGCCCCAGGTGGCATGTGATGGCTACTTCCCTCGGACTGGCACGGCAGGAGCAGGGCTGAGCATAAGCTCTGCACACAGATGGCCCCAGACCCGTCCTTGGTACTGCTGGTTGGTTTCAGGGCTGTGGGCAGCCCCTATCCAGCCCACACACAGTAGAGCCAGAGACCCTGAGAAACGGAGAGAGATGAAGAGCCCACCCCGAGTCTTTCGCAAGCCAACGGGGACAAGGCTCCAGTCGTTATAACATCTTTGTTCTGTGATGGGGACACCCGGCTGTGTTCAGAGATGACTCCTGAGCAGGTCTGAGAACCACATATGGTGCCCAGAACTGAATGTGGACATCCGGGTACAAAGAGATGCCCTTAGTGCCCGCACTGTTCCTGGGTCTGAGAAGGGCCAGGCGGACCCCTCCCAGAACCCAGACAGAATCAGACGAGGCAGCAGCACCTGCAGTCACTGAGCTCTCTCGGCCCTCTCTCTGGGTCTGGCCTCAAGTGGCAGTTCAGGATGGGGCCTGTGCCGCCCACCCTGGCTCCATCACCTGGAGGTCTTTTGCCTTCAGCTCCGTGTCCACGATGGCCACTGAGTGCACGTTCCTGCTCAGGAAAGGGTCGTCAAACTCGGTCCAGGTGTAGTCCCCGAACACAATGCTGTGTCGGTTGAGCAGCTTCTGGACTCTCTGCCTTATGTCGTCCATCCTGGCGGTGCTGTGGCCGGCACAGAGCACCAGGGGTCAGAGGGCTGCAATGTGCGAGGGCTGGCATGCGTGCACAAGGCAGCTCAGGGCGTGTGCGGGTCGCACAGCGGCTCGGCCCGGGCTCTGCGTGCAGGACGGGGGGCGCGCGGTCCCTAGACCCGGCCTGCACCGAGGGAGCCGCTTCCCGGCGAGGCTCCCGGCGGCCCCCGCCCCGCCCCTCCCCGGGGCGACCTGCAGCCAAGCTCGGCCTTGGCTCGGGGGACCCCGCGGGGTCGCGCTCACCTGCTGGCGCGCTGGTGCACCTCTACGTGCACCGCGGGCTTGTCGGTCACGCAGGACAGCGCCTGCTTCAGGTCGCCCACGGCCTCGTCCATGGCACCGTCGGGGCGGCGGAGACCCGGTCAGACAGTGGCTGCCGCCGCTCAAACCTGCCGCGCTGCCCTGACCCGGAACAGCTCGCGGTTGCGGGCGGGGCACTTCCGGCCGCGGACCGGCTACTTCCGGCAGCGGCAGAACCACTTCCGGCGCGCTGCGCCCTCGGCGGAAAAGCGGGCGCGGGAGGAGGCAGCGGCGGCGACAGGGCTCCGGTCGCGCCATGGGCAAGAAGCACAAGAAGCACAAGGCCGAATGGCGTTCGTCCTACGACGGTGGGACCCGGGCGGAGGGCGCGCGATCACCCCCAGACTCCCGGGTCGTCGCCGCTGGGCGGGCCGGTGGGGTCTGCGATCTGAGAGTGGGGCGGGGCCTGACGCCGGGGGCGGGGCCTCCCGCGCGCCGGGGCCGGGGGCGGAGCCTGAAGCCGGGGCTGGGCCTCCCGCGCGCCGGGGGCGGGGCCTCCTGCCTACTGGGGTGGGGCCTGAAGCCGGGCTCAGGGCCTCCTGCACGCCGGGGCGGAGCCTGGAGCCGGGGGCGGGGCCTCCTGCGCGCCGGGGCGGGGCCTGGCGTGGGTGGGCGGCGCGAGAACCCAGTTTGGAGGCGGGCCCCAGGGCAGCTGCTGACCCTGCGTCCCTAGACTACCCAGACAAGCCGCTGGAGAAGCCGCTGAAGCTGGTGCTGAAGGTCGGGGGCAGTGAGGTGACGGAGCTGTCGGGTTCGGGCCATGATTCCAGCTACTATGACGACCGCTCGGACCACGAGCGCGAGCGACACCGGGAGAAGAAGAAGAAGAAGAAGAAGAAGGCGGAGAAGGAGAAGCACCTGGACGACGAGGAGCGGAGGAAGCGCAAGGTGGGCGGGGGCCCGGGCCGGGCTGGCGTGTGGGAGCCCACGGGCCGCTGCCACAGTCTCCTCTGTGCAGGAGGAGCGCAAGCGCAAGCGCGAGAAGGAACACGGCGACTCAGAGGCCGAGGCCGACGTGTTCGAGCCGGGCAAGAAGGTGGAGGTGGAGCCGCCCCCAGACCGCCCCATCAGAGCCTGCCGCACACAGCCAGGTGACCGGAGGGCCATGGGTCGCGTCCAGGGAGCTCAGACGTGTGTCCTGGGCCTGGGGGGGGGGGGTGTAGATGCATGTCCTGGAGCACCGGGAGCCCAGGGAGTGCAGACCCGTGTCCAGGGGGTAGAGACGCGGGACCACCGGGTACAGATGGGTTTCCAGGGGGCGGAGATGTGTGTCCATCTAGGGGACAGAGACGCGTGTCCAGTGGGTGCAGATGCATGTCCAGGGGGTGGAGATGCATGTCCAGCAGGTGCAGATGCATGTCCAGGGAGTGGAGACACCTGTCCAGAGGGAGGAGATGCATGTCCGGGGGTGGAGACGCGTGTCCATGGGGTGCAGACATGTGTCCAGTGGGTGCAGATACATGTCCAGGGGGTGGTGATGCATGTCCAGCAAGCGCAGATGGGTGTCCAGGGGGTAGAGATGTATGTCTAGGGGGTGCAGACAGGTGTCCAGGGGTCGTAGGCATGTGTCCAGGAGGTGCAGACCTGTGTCCATGGTGTGTGTCCAGTGAGTGCAGATGCATGTTCAGGGGGTGGAGATGCGTGTCCAGCATGTGCAAACGGTGTCCAGGGGGCTGAGACGAGTGTCCAGCAGCTGCAGATGCGTGTCCAGGGGGTGGAGATACGTGTCCAGGGGGCAGAGACATTTGTTCAGGGGGGTGAAGATTCACGTCCAGAAGATGGAGATGCATGTCCAGGGGGTGCCGATACATGTCTGGGGCAGAGATGCGTGTCCAGGGACACAGATGCGTGGCCAGGGTCTGGTTCCTACTCTGGACCCATCTGACCTGGGCTGATACTCAGGATGATCCCTCTCCCACAGACTGCCCTAGGCACTCACTGTGTGGGGCTCCACCTGGGCGTTGGTGTCTGTGGGCTGGAAAAGCCTCCCACACTGTTGTCTGGGTGTGGGTGGACACCTGGGCCCTCCTTTCTTGGTGCTGCTGGTCAGAGCAGCTCCTGGAGGAAGTCAGCGTGTGGGTGCCCGGGAGGGCTGGGCCCCAGTGAAAGGGTGTATGGGGGGACCCGTGCTTTCAGGGCCTGTGGCACCCGGCAGGGAGCACTGTCTGCATACCCAGGCCAGTGGCCCTACGCTCTGCACCAGGGGGGTATGTCCTGGGCAGCGGGTTCCTCGTCCAACTGTCTCGAGCAGGCTGGACGTGGCGGGCCTTGCTGGTCACAAGGTGGGGACTCAGGGCAAGGCCGGGCTTGGGAGCCTGGGAAGCAGACAGGCTGCCGCTGTGTCGGGTTCTGAGCACAGAAGCCCTGGGCCCTGGGGACCAGTCTGCCTGACCTGGCCCGTGTGGGCTCCCTGTGCCCGTGCTGACAATGCTGGCTGGTTGTCGCCTCTGCAGCCGAGAACGAGACCTCGCCGATTCAGCGCCTGCTGGAGCACTTCCTCCGCCAGCTGCAGAGGTGTGTGGGTGTGGCCGGGCAGCTGTGGGTGGTGGAGTGAGCGGGCAGCGGTGTGTGGGTGAGGCCAGTCTGCTGTGGGTGGTGGTGTGAGCGGGCAGCGGTATGTGGGTGTGGCCGGGCAGCTGTGGGTGGTGGTGTGAGCAGGCAGTGGTATGTGGGTGTGACTGGGCAGCTGTGGGTGGTGGTGTGAGTGGGCAGTGCTGTGTGGGTGCTGCCAGGTGGCTGTGCCTGGTGGAGTGAGTGGGCAGGACGGACACTTTCCAGCATAGGGTCCAAGAGGTGGATGTGGGCCCCCTCCGGAACCAGGGGCTAGTGAAGGAGTTTGGGGAAAAGTCACCACATTCTGCGGTTCCGGAACGTTCCTCTGCTCTCCAAGCAGCAGACTGGTTGAGCCCATCGTACTGGCCTCCACCCTGCCAGCTGGGGCAGCACTGACGGGCCTGAGCGTCACAGCTTCCTGCCCTCCACCGGGACGCCTCTGTTTGCAGGAAAGATCCTCATGGGTTTTTTGCTTTTCCTGTCACGGACGCCATTGCTCCCGGATACTCGATGATAATAAAGCATCCGATGGATTTTGGCACCATGAAAGACAAGATCGTTGCGAACGAATACAAGTCGGTCACGGAGTTTAAGGTAACTGGCTGCCCTCGGGCACTCGCTCTGGTGTGGTGGGGCTGAGGGTTGGCCACAGGGATGGGATGCTGGCTGCTTGGCTAGGGTCCACTCCAGGCCTGCCTGCAGCAGCAGAGGACACGTGTGGTGCCCAAGAGTCCCCAGGGCAGCCTCAGCCTGTTCCAGAGCTGCTTTCCAGCTCTTAGCTCCTTCTGCCTGCCACTAGGGTTTCGTTGGCTTTCGAACACTTTTTTTGTTTTGTTTCTTTTTATTTTGGGTCCAGGCTCAGAGGCTACTCCTACATCAGTGCTCAGGGCGTCCAGGTAGTGCCAGGGAAGAGAGAGCCTGGTTCTGGTGTGTGCGGGATGCACTGCAGCCCCTCGGGCCCTCCCTGGCCCCCGTACTGAGATCGCACCTTCCCTGATACCGAGCTCCTGACTCTGGGCCAGCAGAGACTTCCGGGTCTGGCAGCTTTGGAGAATGTGCCCTTGCACGTTCCTCTCTGGGTCCTTGCTCCAAAGGGTCTGCTGCCCTGAGGAGCAGCGGGAGCGGCTGGAAGGAGAGCACAGATGGGGGCCCTGCAGTGCTCACAGACGCCCTGCCTCCTGGTTGGTGGCAGGCTCCAGGGCTCAGGAGGGCACCGCGTCTCAGCCCAGCCCGGCCTGGCACGGCACGGTGGCCAGCAAGGTGGCGTGGTCGTAGCTGGTTCATGCAGCTGTGGAGTCCCGGGTTGATGACAGAATACTCAGAACTGTGGACTTGTTTTTATTTCCTATTTGATTTTCCACCTGCATTTCTAAGACCAGGTCTGGGGATCAGGCGTGCCCTTGTAGGGAATGTTTAGCTTGTGCTGATGACTGCAAAATCAGAACAGTGAAAACTTTGCCCGTCAGACTTGTGTTTAGGGTCCAGTTGGTAGTTTTAGTTCTCTGTGTGAGGGGTGGGGGGTCTGGTGACTGTTCATACAAAACTCAGCCTCCCCCCACCTCCCCCAGCATACCCTGAGGCAGAGCTGCCCGGGGTTTGTGATCTGCACTTGGCCTTGGACAGTCTTTGCTTTTTTTTTTTTTTTTTTTGCTTTTTGGGTCACACCTGGTGTTGCACAGGGGTTACTCCTGGCTCTGCACTCAGGAGTTACTCCTGGCGGTGCTCAGGGGACCATATGGGATGCTGGGAATCGAACCCGGGTCGGCCGCGTTCAAGGCAAACCCCCTATCCGCTGTGCTATCTCTCCAGCCCCCAGTCTTTGCTTTTAGAGTTTTAAAGATGCTAGTGAGGGTTGGGGCCGCAGTGATAGTAGAGCAAGTAGGGCGTTTGCCTTGCATACAGCTGACCCAAGTTCTCCCCAGCATCCACTTTGGTCCCCCAAGCAGCAGCAGGAGTAATTCCTGAGTGCAGAGCCAGGAGGAACTGCTGAGCATTGCCAGCTGTGATCCTAAAAGCCAAAATGCAAAAAGCCAGTGGGGCGAGAGCCCATGGCCTCTTGCTCACACTGGTGCACCCGTTTCCAGGCCGACTTCAAGCTGATGTGTGACAACGCCATGACCTACAACAGGCCCGACACCGTGTACTACAAGCTAGCCAAGAAGATACTGCACGCTGGCTTCAAGATGATGAGCAGAGTAAGGGCCCGCGTGCGGGGCCGCCGCCGCTCGGCGAGCACATGTCCTGCCTGCACAAAACTCACGGCACCACGCTTCCATCCTTCCACCCGGCCTCAGCGTAGACCCCGGGCCACTCCCTGGTCCCCATGTGGGGCTCTGCCCAGGCACTGTCCCTCCCCAGCCCTTGCCTCTGCTCCAGTTGTGGCTTTTGCTTTAGGCTTGGAAAGTTCCAGATCTGGGGTGTTGTGCCCAGGGCGTCTCCAGTCGGCAGGCGGCCCCTCTGCTCCCCGTTGGCTGTTCTGAGGGGCTGCCCAAATCCGCCCATGGGCCCGGCTGCATCTATGTACTCTAGCCCCCCCCCGAATCCCCCCCAGCGGAACCCCTCTTCCCGCTGCATGTGGAGGTCAGCTGGAGGCCGGGGCGTGGCCATGCCCATCCATCATCGCCATGGCGCCTGGCTGCGAGGAGGGGCCAACCCCTGGCGCTCTGTCCTTTCTGGTTCTAGGAGCGGCTGTTAGCTCTGAAGCGCAGCATGTCGTTCATGCAGGCCATGGATTTCTCTCAGCAGGCAGCACTTCTGGGCAGCGAGGACACGGCTGTGGAGGAGCCTGTGCCCGAAGTTGTCCCCGTGCAAGTAGAAGCTGCCAAGAAGTCCAAAAGGCCGAGTAGAGAAGTGACCAGGTAAAGGCCGGCCTGCCTGGGCCGCCGAGCAGTGAGGCAGCTGTGCACGTAGCTCTCCAGGGACACACAGTGACACTCCCCGCACATCACACAGGAAGATGTACACACGTGCACAGACACACGTGCACACGCATGTAGAGGCACATGGATGCAGGCACACGCATGTGTTAGGTGAATGCAGGCACACATGTTAGATGGACGCAGGCTCATGTGTTAGGCATGGGCACACGCGCTAGATGGATGCAGCACATGTGCACATGTGTTAGATGGACATGGGCACACGTGTTAGGCAGGGGCTCACATGCATTAGGTGGACGCAGAACATGCACACATATATTAGGTGCACTCACACACGTTAGATGGATACGCACACGCACACACGTGTTAGAACGGATGCACGCATGTAAGATGGATGTAGATGGATGCAGGCACATGTGTTAGGCATGACACATGCGTGCACACACGTTAAATGAAGACATGTTAGGTGGATGTGGGCACATGTGTTGGACATGGCACACACATGTTAGAGGATGCGGCACGTGCACGTGTGTTAGGTGGATGCAGGCACACATGCGTTGGATTTGACACATGCACACACATACGTGTTAGATGGATGCAATCCATGCACACACACGTATGCATCTGTACCACAACATGTGCGTATGTGTGCAATGAGCCTGGCAGCCTACGGAGCTGCCAAGACCATGCCCCCAGCTTGTACCTGGAATAGGCAGTGCCTGGCGTGAGGGTGATGTGACGGTGACGCTGGAGTCGCTGGTGCCTGGGGGAGGGGTGGCCACACTGGCCCCCGCTGGGCTGCTATTCGCTGATGACCACGCAGGCAGCCACTCCTTGCCCACTCTGGCTCAGTGCAGGCCTCAGCTCTGCCCCCACCCTGCTCCTGAGCTCCTTTCTGCCACCGCTGCGTTTGAGGGGCTTGTCAGTGGGCTCGGGACCCCTCAGCCTCCCACAGTGCCTGGAAAAGCGTCCACATGCTTCCAGAACCTTCTCAGGAGACGTCAGCTTGTTCGGTGCCGCCCGAGGCCAGCGTCCTGGGGCTCGTCACTGTCCGGGACAGGCTCTGCCCGGCCCCACGATACGCATCCCTCCACAGCTCCATATTCGAGCCTGAGGGGAGTGCCTGTAGCCTGACGGACAGCACCGCTGAGGAGCACGTGCTGGCCCTGGCCGAGCACGCAGCCGACGAGGCTCGAGACAGGGTCCACCGCTTCCTCCCGGGCGGCAAGGTATGGGCTGTGGTATGGGCACTCCTGACCAGGCACCTGGGTGCCCTCAGCTACATGCGGGTGCTCCCAGCTAGCAGCTCTCCCTGGCCAGAGGCCCAGAAACGAGGGTAAACAGGGAGTACCCCAGAAGGGGCTCAGGCCCACGGGGTCTCCCCTAGGACGGGTTCAGGCACACAGGGTCTCCCCCTAGAAGGGCTCAGGCCCACAGGGGTCTCCCCTAGGAGGGGCTCAGGTCCACGGGGTCTCCCTGGGAGGGGCCCAGGCCCACGGGGGTCTCCCCTAGGAGGAGCCCAGGCCCACGGGGGTCTCCCCAGGAGGGACCCAGGCCCACAGAGTCTCCCTAGGAGGGGCCCAGGCCCACGGGGTCTCCCTTAGGAGGGGCCCACGCCCACAGGGTCTCCCCTAGGAGCGGCCCACGCCCACGGGGTCTCCCCTAGGAGATGCCCAGACCCACAGGATCTCCCTGGGAGGGGCCCAGGCCCACGGGGTCTCCCTGGAAAGGACTCAGGCCCACGGGGTTGTCCCAGGAGGGGCTCAGGCCCATGCCGGAAGGGGCTCAGGCCCACGGGCGTCTCCCCGGGAGGGGCCCAGGCCCACAGGGTCTCCCCGGGAGGGGCTCAGGCCCATGGGGTCTCCCCTAGGAGGTTCCCAGACCCACGGGGTCTCCCTGGGAGGGGCCCAGGCCCACGGGGTCTCCCTGGGAGGGGCAGCTCCTAGTCGTCTTCCTATGGAGATTCAGGCTGCAATAGGTCTGGTGAGATCCCAGCACCCCTGGCCCTGCCATGTCCCTCATACTGGCCCCTGCTGTGCAGCGCTGTCCCAAGGGCAACCATGCCCTGTTTCCGCCTGCTGAGCCCCTGTGCCAGCACATGGCCTCAGCAGCTTGTCCTGCCGCCCCGCCCTCCTGCTGGCCGCTGCATGGACTTAAGCTGAGGGAACCCTGTGCCCTGGCCGCCTCTTGCCCGCACAGTTCTGGCCCTGCTGAGGGGTTCTGGGCTGTCCTGCCGGCGTGGTACTGGCTGGGCCCTCGGGCACAGGGAAGGGGGAGCCGGACCCCTACTGGCCAAGCTTTGGTCAAGCTCCAGGGGCGCTCTGCTTTCTTGCAGATGGGCTACCTGAGGCGCAGCGGTGACGGCAGCCTGGTCTATAGCGTGGTCAACGCCGCCCAGCCCGATGCCGACGGTGGGCGCCCCCCTGCACCACAGCTCTGGATTGGACACTCAAGGGCAGCGTGCCTGGGGTGGACTCTAGGCACACTTCTAGGGGGTGGACGCTCGAGAGCAGCATGTCTGGAATGGGCACACTTCTGGGCACTGGACTCTCGAGGGTAGCATGCCTGGGCTGGACATCAAAGTGCACACTGCTGGAGCCCCTGGCTGGGTCCAGGCTGGGCTCTGAGTGCAGCCAGCCGAGATGCAGAGGCGTTCTTAGCACCTGTTGCTGCCCCTGTGGCCGGGGTCAGTCTCCCAGACTCCCTGAAGACCTGGCCCAGAGCCGGTGTCGGGAGGAGGTGGCTCCTATGAGTGATGGATCCCACAGGCCTCACCCAGTGGGCCTTGCCCTTCCCAGTTCCCAGCAGCCTCTGACGCCTTGTGGGCATGTAGATGGGATTCTAGGCTCCAGCCGAGCGAGCCCTGGTGGTCTCTGGGGAGACCTGAGTCGGGCTGCTGGTGGTCAGAAAGGTGTAGCTGGCCGGTGCCCTGGGGATGGGGCCCACGCAGGACTCCTGGGCGGTGCTGCGTGTTGGGGTGGAGGATGGAGCTGGCACTCACACTGACCTCTCACCCCCATGCCTGGCCTTGCAGAGGAGGAGACCCACCCTGTGGACCTGAGCTCACTGTCCAGCAAGTTGCTGCCCGGCTTCACCACCCTGGGCTTCAAGGATGAGCGGCGCAGCAAAGGTGAGTATCCCCGACCACAGCCCTCCACAGAGGGGGACCCTCTGGGCGGGTCCCAGAGAGCTCAGGCTGGGGGGTCCAGTGGGGGAGGCTCAACCCCCAGGGCCATTTTCCACTTGGGCTGCACTTTGTTTGCTTCAGAAAGAACCTGGATGTGAGTGTGTGTGCCAGTGTTACCGGTGTGCCCGTCACCCCTTGTATGTGCTATGCACGTGTGTATAGAGGGGCACATCACCCCTTGTGTTCATGTGTCCTGGTTGTGTGTTCAAGGGTACATGTCACTTCATGTGCATACTGGACATGTGTGCACCAGGACACCTGTCATGTCTGCATGTTCCGAGTACATGTGTATGTGCACCCCGGCATATGTTACCATGTATGTGCTGGGCACATGTGCATGTGGGCACATGTCATGTCTGTGTGCTGGGCACGTGTGCACCAGGACACACATTACAGTGTGTGTGTATGCTGGACATGTTACCATGTGCGCATGTGTACCGGGCACACACTAGTGTGCATATGCTGGCCCACGATGGGTGTGACGTGTGTCAGTAGTCTGCACGCACACGTATGTGTGTATTGTCAGCAGGGAACAGGCTTCTGCCCCCACCCAGCCCCAGTCTGCCGTCCATGTGCCAGTACTGGGCATCGTTTTCTGTCATGTGCGAGGGAAGTGCCTGTCTCCCTCATGGATTTTCTGCCCCATCTTCACTGGAGATGTGTCCACTGCCCGTGTCGCACAGCACATGTGTCACGGCTTCCCGTGTCTGTGACTCTGGATCCATACTGGCACCTGGTGCTGTCAAGGAGGTCACTGCTGCCCCCCTGAGCTGGCTGTCCCTGGTTTCAGGCAGCCTGGGGAGCAGCCGGTTACAGATGTGCGGTGCTTCTGGGCTGCCGGCCGAGCAACCCCCAGGCCCTGATGCTGCCACCTTGGGCCCCGATTGTGACTGGGCTCCCCTACCTGCTTCATGATGGAGATAAAACAGCTGTCACCTAGGGTGCCCCTGGCATCTAGCGTAGAGCCCAGGGCCCTCAGGGTCTGGGTGGGACCTGGGGTCTGGGTGGGGCCTCGAGGCCTGGGGCGGGGCCTTGTGGGCACGGCCAGGGCACCCACCTGCGCTGTGTGCTTGTGGCAGTCACCTTCCTGTCGAGTACTAGCACGGCGCTCTCCATGCACAACAACTCCGTGTTTGGAGACCTCAAGTCAGAAGAGACAGAGCTGCTCTACTCGGCCTATGGGGACGAGACAGGCGTGCAGTGTGCGCTAAGGTGAGTGGCTGGGCACTCACGCCCTCATGGTGACTCACCAGGACCACCCCGAGGGTTGGCTCTCCAGGCTGGTGACTGCCGCCCCACACTGGACGTGGCCCTCCGTGCAGAGCCGCGACCATGGGGGCGTCCATGGGAGCAGGGGCCTCTGCTTCAGCCTGCAGGAGTTCGTGAAGGACGCTGGGAGCTACAGCAAGAAGCTAGTGGACGATCTCCTGGACCAGATCACGGGCGGGGACCACTCACGAGTGCTCTTCCAGCTGCGACAGGTGCCGTCACGCACCCTCCCCACTCGCGCGGACCCACTTCCTGCTGACCGCGCCTGTGGTGTTTGTCCAGCGGGCTACCCGCAGGGGAGGGTGAGCCGTGAGCTCTGTCCAACCCTTCTCTGAGGGCACGGTCACAGTTGACCCCATGGGCCTGCCTGCCCTGCTGTGAGTGGCCTGGCCCCAGGCCGGGGCTGGCTGGTGACTGTCCCCCAGCAGGCCGTGGGCTCCTGGTCGAAACCCAGAAGGTTCCTTCACAGCTGTTAGGAGGGGCTGGCCTTGCCCTCCCTGCTGTGTGAGGGGCAGCTGTCCCCTATGGTCACTGCTGCTCACAGGAGAGCTGTGAGTCCAGCCTGGTGGTGAGGTTACAGGCGGAGGGAGGAGAAAAGGGTGGTCTTGCGGTTCCCATCCGTGCATCGCTGCCCACGCCATTCCCAGCATGCCTCAGCCTGTCATGCCTGCCCTCCTCGTGGCCCTGGCCACAGCGTCCAGCCCCTCTGTCTGCCTTCTTGTGTCTGTGTCTGTTGGGCCACGCTTGGTGGTGCTCAGGGGGCAGTCCTGGCAGGCTGGACTCTGTGGTGCTGGGGGTGAGACCCTGGGGCTCTTTGGTCAAGACCTTCCTCCTCTCCCGGCCTGCCCCAGGAATCTCCCCACGGGCTCTAGCACAAGCTCCGTAAGGGCAGAGCCCAGTTCAGCCCCAGGCTCTGCCCGTGGCCCCAGCCCCACAAGGCTTCAGCAGCTCTGCCCCCTTGGGTGGGATCAGAGGAGAGCACACCCCGGAGGGTCTTTGTCTTGTCTTGCACACGCTGACCCGGCTGTTCCCATGATCCGCAGGACCAACCCCTGAGCATCGCAGGGTGGGCCCTAAACCCAACTTTTCTTGCTGCGGCTTGGAATCAGGGGGGTCATGTGCTCACCAGGTTTCTGGGTGAAGGGGCCGGTCTGCGCTGAACACCTTCTCCAAAGACTCAGCAGCTCTGCCGGGCTCGTCCTGAGTCTTCTGCAACCTGCCTGCTCACCCTGTTTCCTCCTGTGCCTGTGTGTGCGTGTGTACATGTGTATGCCTGCACACGCCTGTGTGCATGTGTGCCTGTGCCCACGTGTGCATATGTCCCTGTGCCCACGTGTGTGTAAATGTGCCTGTACATGCTTAATGTGTGCCTGTGCCCGTGTGTGTTCGCATACGTGTGTGCCTGTGCCTAAGTGTGTGTGTGCTTGTGTATATGCACGTGCATATATACTTGTGTGTGCATATGTACACGCGTGTTCCTGTGCCCACATGTGTATTTATGTTCATGTGCGTACATGTGCCTATACATCCTTGTATGTGCCTCTGTGCTTGTGCATGCATCTGTGTGCGTGCGCTCATGTGTTCATTTGCTGTGCCTGTGTACCAGGCCCGTGCGTGCCCATGCCCATGTTTGCATGCCTTTGCCCTGTGCACTCACAGGCTTGCGTCCCTGCACCTCTGGGCCCTGTGTGCTCCTGCACATGTGGGTCAGCGAGTGAGGGAGTCCACGTGCAGGTGTGAGGGGGGTGGCTGGGCTGCACGGAGCTGGGTGGGCGGGGACGTGGCAGCCGGTGGCCAAGCTGGTGGCCAGGCAAGTGTCTGTGATGGTCACAGCACAGGGACCCGATACAAGTCACAGAACGGGATGTAGACGTGGTGGCTGTCACGGCACTCGATGGTGTGGCAACGGTCATGGCATGGGGGTGGAGACAGCACCCTGCTCTGGCCTGCGACCACTCTGTCCCTCTTGTTTCCTGCAGAGGAGAAGCATCCCGGTGAAGCCTCCTGATGAAGCCAAGGTGAGCTTGGGGCGCAGAACCCCGGGGCTTCCCCAGGGTCTTTTGTGGAGTTCTGTAGATGCCCCCCACGTTGCCCGGCCCAGGCCCAGCCAGTGCTGTTGTCCCCTCCCGCCTCTCCCTGGTGCGGACTCCAGCTGCAGCCTCTCACGGAGGCCAGGGCAGAACCCAAGTCTCACTCTCAGCACCACACGCAGGTCCATGGGAGCACCCACACAGCCGGCGTGGGGAGCACGGGGAGTACCCGAGCAGCTTTGCCAAGGGAGGAGAGCACCCTTCACAGCACAGCCCTGTGGTGGCTGTGGGGTGCTGCACGCCCCTGGGAAGCTGCCCAGGGCCTCACCCTGGCGGAGCGAGCCTGTGTCCATCTGTCTGCTGGGCCCGAGCTCCCTCACGCATTTGGGTCACAGCAGACGAGAGCCATACTGGGGGTCCCGGCAGAGCCTGGCTGGGTGTTGGCATCACCCTGGGTTTTTGGAGAGTGGGGTGCTGTGCTTGCTCTAGACTCGGCTTGGAGAGACCCAAAGGGGGGTCAGAGCGGGGCCAGAGCCTTCGGCACCCTGTCAGTGCTGGAACATCCGAGCTGGCTGCGCGCTTACGCCGGACGCTGGCTCCTTCCTTTGCTCCCTGTACAGCCTGGCGACACCCTAGCCGACGGTGGCTCCGTGCTGGACTTCGTGTCAGTGAAGCCATACTCCGACGTCTCCCTGGACATGGCCGTGCTCGGCACCTTAGGTAGGTGGTCCCCCACCCCCTGCCTGTGGCTCCCAGCAGTGGCCTTTGGGGCCAGTTGTTGACATGGGGACCGGATACTGCTTGGTGTACCTGTCTTGGTGTTGCCAGCACTCCTGGGAAGGTACTTCCTGCGCCTGCCTTTCCCCGCCATGGGCTGGGCTCAGGCTGTGCTCGCGTCCACAAACTGGCCTCTCAGGCGGCCCCAAAGGGCGGGCCCGGGGCGCGTCTCCAACCTGCCACGCATGCGTCCTTCAGGGAAAGTGAAGAAGGAGCTGGAGCCAGAGGACGGGCCGCTGCCGCTGGATGAGACGGCCAAGCTGCTTCAGGAGCTGCAGGAGGCACAGGCGGAGCGCGGGGGCTCACGGCCCTCGTCCAACGTCAGCTCCCTGTCCAACGCCTCTGAGCGCGAGCACCACACGCTGGGTACGCCCTGCGCCACCGTGGCCGTGTCCCCTGCCGGGCGCTGCGGGTCTGCGTCTGACGCGCTGCCCCACGTTGCAGGGAGCCCTTCCCACCTCAGCGTCGGGGAGCAGCCGGAGGTGCCCCACGACCCGTACGAGTTCCTCCAGTCTCCGGAGCCCGCCGCCCCCACCAAGAGCTGACGGCGTGGCCGGGCGCCTGTTCTGTGAGTCACGTGCAGCCCCGTCGCCGGCAGGCTCCGTGTGTCCGTGGCTGGAGTGCCGGTGCAGCCCGGGGTGCAGGCGCAGCCCATTGGTGCAGGCCTGGGCTGGAGCGCCGGGCTGGCAGTGGGCACAGCTGCCCATCGCGGGAGCAGTCCCAGGAGGCTGTGCTGCCCGCCCGGTGCCTGTGTGGGGCCGCTGCGTGTGTGTGGGTCGCCCCAGGGCCTCCCTGGTTCCTCGCGGCCTATGCAGCACCCCCAGGTGTCAATAAAGAAGAGGGCCCTTGTGTGCATGTGGCATGTGGCTGTTCCAGCTGGGGGGGTCTCAGCTCCGCCGTGCTGGCCCACCGAGAGTACCAACATGCTAGCGGGTGTTGGTGGCGGTAGGACTTGGGCAGGCCATGGGCTGAAGCTGTCATGGGCATGCCACGTACTCCAGGATGGCTCAGGGCCCACGTTTGTGCTGGGGTGGGCAGCAAGCAGGGCAGACCCAGAGGCACATTGGTGCTGGGTGTTGCTGACTTCGGAGCATGTCTAGGACTCCCCACAGCCGAGGCCTGGTGGGTAGCAGGTGCGGGCACTGGGACCAGGCCTCCCACCCAGGGACCGGCCAGCGCTGCGAGCCCCTCACAGGTACCTTTCTTGTCAGTCCAGCTCAGCCCTGTTTGCCCCTCCGTACCCCTGGTCTTGCCAGATGCGTGCCCAGCCCTTGGCAGTGCCCATGTCCCTGCACGAGGGTGCATCAGAGGCCCCTGCAATGGGCCATTGGGCCCTCAGGAAGGCAGTGTTGGTGATGGGGCTCGCCCAGAGCTCCTAGGAGCACACCTGGGCCAGGGTGCAAAGCGCAGGCAGGCAGGGTGCAGGAGGAGGTACTAACCCCCTCCCCCCCCGGGAGGCCACTCTACCACAGCCATTGCTGCACTCCACGTGGACATGGGAGGTGCTTAACCGTGGGGTGGCCCTGGGTCCTGATGTCTTGAGGAAACTGGTTCAGCCCAGACACAGATCTAGACTCGGCCACGAGGGGGCCGTTTTATACCTCAGCTGCACATGGGCCCTGACCTTCCAACTAACTGGTCCCTGCTGTTGAGGGTGTGTGTGGGTGGGGGTTTGGGGCTTCCCCAGGAACATGCCCCACTTCTCTGCCAGTGCTTCTGGGCCTGGCTGGCTGCAGTTCTGGCCAGAGGGGGGCGCAGAGGGTCAGGCACGAGAGAGCACGGCCTCTGGGCCGGGAAGCGGGGCAGAGGTCGCCCTGCGGCTTCCTGGCGAGCTCCTGTCCCCGTGACTTGGCAGCTCATGCAGCTGCCTGGGCTGGGGGTAGGGAGAGCGCGGTGCCCAGGGCCCCGGCCCGCCTGCTCCTGCAGTGGTCTGTGGACGTGACCCAGCACCCCTGCAGAGTGGCTTCCAGGCTGGGGACAGGAAGGTGGCAGGCTGGCCCGAGGGCGCTGGCGCCGAGCTGTTTACCAAACACAGATTGTTGCTAGGGGACGTTCAGAAAGTTCTGGCTCCTTGGCCCTGGGCAGGCGCTGCTTCCTCTGGAGGAGGCCCCTCTGCCGTTATCAGGGAACCCGAGCCCCGAGAGTCAGTGGCACCTGGGCTGCGGGACTGTCACCCGCACCAGCAGCGCCTGCCTGGTGGGTGCGGCGGGAGGGGCCCCCTGGAGACTATCCACTGAGGGCCTCATTCCCCCACACAGTCCCCCCACATTATCCCTCTGACCACAGCTTCCTGTCACTGCCCCCTCGCCACTCCCTCTGGCTCCTCTCCTTCCTGTGCTCATGTTCCTGGACAGCCCCTGAGCGCCGGGTTTTCTCTTGGGGTCCCATGGGCGAGACACATGGAGTGAGGTGGCGCCCCCCAACATCTGCCCGCTGCTCCTGGCCTCCTGCCGTGGCAGCACTCTGGTGTCACCTTCCCCGGCCCCAGAGCCACATGCTGCTGCCCGTGGGCCGTGGGTGGGTGGGCCGTGTCCTTGGGGCCATGGGCTCATGGTGCGGGTCCTCGGGGTCCCCTGCGAGGGGGCATGTTCTCAGGGGCCCACTGAGGGCACATCCTGAGGGGTCCCTGCATGGTCACTTTCCTAGGGGTCCTTGGCACAAGCTGTAGCGTGTGCTACTGTCTGTGGCAACTGACACTGGGGGGGTGAGAGGCCTGGAACAGGGAGGAAGGTCTCTCCCAGTCACCCTTCGGGGCCGTGTTTGGGGGAGAGGGACAAGGCTATGCAGGTGGGGACAGTGCACACAGGGCCCCCGCCTGCCCGCTGGCACTGGGCCCCCAGCTCTGTGGAAACCAGGACCCCATGCACCCCCACCCCCAGGCAGCTGTTTGCAACAGAGTCACCACACAAGCCCGCCCTTGGAGGGGGGCCCCTGATACCCCTAGTGGGAGGTCACTGGGGTCACTGGACCTGGTCTGCCCTACCTGGGACTGAGTCTTTCTGTGGCCCTTGGGCACCCTGAGCTATGGGGGAGCCCTGTGGAAGCTGCTAGGGAGCTAGCGAGTGTCCGAGTGGGGGACACAAAGGGTGGGCTCTGGAGAGGCCGTGACCCCAGAACAGTCTCAGTTCTGAGATGTCGGCGTGCGGCTGTCTGGTGCAGCCAAGGTGCAGCCCCAGACTGGGGCCCCCTTGTTGGGCAGAGCCTGCGGCTGCCTGAGAAGCCAGGGGGAACCCGGTGGAAGGGGACCCCGAATAGGGGACCCCGGGTGGGTGGAGAAGCCCCAGCAGCTGTGCCCACACCCACGGTCAGGCGCTCGGTCCCCTGGGTGACCCCTATGGGGAGACCCTGGGCAGAGCCCAGGTGGACTGGCACTGGGGAATGGCTGGAGACCAAGGATGCTGCCCTGTGGGTGTGGACACAGCTGTCCCGAGAGGGCTTTGGGCTGGAGGGGAGTAGGGGGCAGTGGGGAAGCGTCTCAGCCACCCCCAGGTGCTGTGGGCCAGCCTCCCCCCACCCCAGCTGCAAATAGGCTCCCGTGGGAGGCGCTTCCCACCCTAAAACGCAAACCATCTGCTTCAGGGGGCCAGTGGGCAGCACCAGGACTTCTGCAGCAAACTCAGCACAGCCCCTGCTCCGACATGCCTGCCTGCCCTCCATGCGTGTGTTTCCCGTGGGGGTGAGCGCTTGTGAACAAGTGTCTACCCCTGGGAGCATGGCAGGTGGTGTCCCTGGCCGACCTCACGGCCTTGGCAGCAACCAGAACAGGCACTTAAGGCCCCAACTGCAGGAGCCGTGTGTGTGTGTGCGCGTCTGTATGACATACATCCATGTGCATGTATCTGTGTGTATGAGCACGAGCATGTGTGCACATTGCACACAAGTGTTTGTGCAGCAGCATGTCTGCAGGCACGTCTGTGAGTATCCATGTTTGTATCTGTGTGTGTGCATGTGCACATACGTGTGCGTGCATCCACGTGTGCATCTGCGCATGTGCACATATGTGTGGGCGTCTGTGTGCATTTATGTGTGTGTATCCGTGTGCATACATTCATGTATGTGCATTCATATATGTGAGCTTGTGTGTGTGCATCTGTGACACTGCACCAGACACTTGCGCACCTGTTCTGGGGCTGTGGAAGGCAGTAAAGAGAGGACTGTCTGGCCCCTGGAAAGTCCCAAGATGCATGGAGCAGGCCCAGCACCCATAGGCACACCTGTGGAGTGTCCCACATATGGCTGGTGTGCATGCATGAGTGATGTGTGGGAGGCCTTGCAGGGTATCACCCAGAGGGACCCCGACACCCCACTGCCCCAGCAGAGCACAGCAGAGGCCCCAGGACATGGGGCGTCCAGCACAGGCTCAGGAGGGAAACCCCCAGAGTTGTCCAAGGCCTGTCCTCAACTGCAGCTCCCAGAGCAAAACGTGTATGACGCTGACACTGCAGGGACACATGCGTGCACAGGGCACTGCTCGTGCATGTGTGTGTGACACACAAGCACACATGGACCCATGTCACTTGGTGCCTGACACCCTTTTCCAGCACTTTGATACCAAATGTGTGTGTGACACGCTCACCCTTGTCTGCGCAAGCACACATGTGTGCCACACACAGGCCAGCGTGGTCCACAGGTGCCTGAACAACAAACCTCGGTGAGTGACCTGCCAGGGGAAGCGCATGGGGCCAGGGGCCCACCCAAAGCCTCCTGCAGTCGTCTGGACCCCACAGCTGCCTCTGAACACAGCTCGCACTCGTGTCCTTCACAGAGCATCTGAGATGGAGTGTGGCCCCCGGGCTCACGAGGGCACCAATCACCTTCACAGGGGATAGGGTGAGAAGGGGGACCCCGAGTCATCAGGCCTGTCGGGACGTTACCGAGAGTGTCCCTGTCCCTGACCCCCGGTTGACAGGGCTCACCCACCTGGTGCCACACAACGTCCCCTCCCTGAGCAGCTGTTGGCCCCCAGGAAGTGCCGCCCTGGGCCAGCGAATGGAGCCCGAAGCTCTGGGCTGCCCCTGCTGCCTGCGGTCTCCCTGCTGGTTTGGGTGCAGTGTCCCTGTTCCCCGCCATGGACACTAGGCTCCGTGCTGGACCCTTGGCTGGGAAGTGGCCTGAAAGACTCCCTCCCCCGGGACTTGAGGAGCTGCTTTGGAGAACTGGGCTGTCCATGACTCGGCCCAAGGAGCTTCTCGGAAACTGTGATGTCCGACCAGGCAGGAAAAGCGGCTTTCATGGGAGTAACAGGGAGTCAGTCTCGGTCAACTGGGTTCCTGTTTCCCCGTGGCGGTTGCAGGGGCAGCTGGACAGCTGGGCTGTCACTTTCCTGTCACTCTGGGCTCTCAGCCCCCAGGCCAGGCGTGAGTCCAGGGGAGTGGCTGCCCTGATTACCACTGCACCAGCAGGACCGAGACCTAGCCTGGGCCCCCAGAGGCTGTGGGTAGCATGACAGACAGCGGGCAGGGCACTCACCTTGCTTGGAGCCAACCTGTGTTCCATTCCTGGCACCGCCTACCCCCCAGGAGTGATCCCCAAGAGCAGAGCCAGGAATTAGCCCTGAGCATCACTGGGTGTGGCTCAAAACCGAAAAGAACCCACACAGTGCAGTTGCAAGAGAGCTCCTGGGGCAGGGGCTGCACCTGCACCTGCACACCTGTGTGGCCCAGGTGCATGGCTGTGCCATCAGGCACACCCACGAGGCCACCCCCAAGGCCACAGCTGCAGGACCAGGTAGGGTCTGAGCGGGTGAGCTGGGCAGTCCCCATTTTCCCTCCTCCCTCCCCTCTGAACCTGCCTGAGCACAGGTGGCCATGTGGGTGTCAGGGAGCCCCACTGTTCTCCCAGCCCTGCCAGCACCTCATCCCCACTCCCGAGAAGCCCCCAGCTGCGCTCAGGCGTCTCCAGGGCTGCTTATCTTGGCGGGAGGCGGGGGCCTCCTCTGCTTCCCTGTCCCGGGAGGTCATACGGGCAGTGCTGGGTGGGACTGGGTGGGAAAGCCCACTGTGGAGCTGGACCTAGGGTGCCGTCCCTTTGCGCAGGAGAGTTTTGGGGCAATAGCCGGCTCTGCTTTACTGGGTAAGGACTGTGGGAGATGAGTCCGGGCAGCCAGACTAGGAGTCGAGGGGTACAAGCTACCAGGCCAGTGTGGCAGATGCTGATCTGTCCCCCCTGTCCGGCTTCCTGGACAAGTGGTACCCATGGCGGGGTTCAGTCAGGACACACGGGCCTCGTGAAGCCCCATGGCTGGAGCAGATGTGCTGGGGGGTAACGCACTCCCAGAACCGCCCAACCAGAGGCAGGTGCCCGTGTCCCAGCCCCCGTGTCCCTGCCAGGGAAGACAGAACCGGGCCCTCCAGCTCTCCTGGGTGCCCCCACTTGGACTGGTCCCAGGAGCACCCCAGGGCCCTTTGGCAGCCTCAGGCTCTCTAGGCTGCCTGCCCTGCTGTCCAGCCAGGGTTGGGAGGGGGAGTAGGAGTCCCCCCTCCCCCCGCCCCTAAAGGCTGCGTTGGTCAAACCAGGGAGATCCCCTCTCTCGCTGTGTGGCCGTGACACCTGAATTAGGTGGCATCAACCTCCTGGCACAGGTCCGGCTCCCTGGGAGGTGCTGGCCGCTGGGCAGGGACCGGGGTGTCCACAGGCCGGACTGCAGCTGGGAGGGGAGGACGTGGGCTGGTCGGCCGCCCCGAGGCTCGTTCCAAGAAGTCAAGGCCTGGTTCCGGGGAGGCGACGCATTGGTGGTCCCGCAGACCCCGAGGCCAGAGACCAGTGGGACCAGTGGCTCCCGCGCGGCCGGCTGGGCGCAGGTGCGGAGCGCTGGCCTTATAAGGCAGAGGCGCGCGCCCGTCGAGCCCCTGGGGGGCGGGGCCTCTCCGGGAGACCAATGAGCGCTCGCGGCGGGCCGGGGCCTGCGGGGAGCAGCCAATGAGCCCCGTAGGGTGGGTGGTCGGGGTCGGAGCGATCTGGGGGCGGGGAGAGGGCGGAGCGGAGCGCGGGCTACCAATCAGCCCTCGGGCCGGCGGGCGGGGGCGGGGCCTGTCCCGGAGCGGGCGGGGCGGCCCGCGGACGCGGGGGCGGGCCGGGCCGGGCCGGGGCGTGCCGGGGCGGAGCCTGCGGGCCGGGCGCGCCGGGCGGGCCGAGGCGCGGGCGCTCCGCGGGGCACCGGGTCGCGCGCGGCCAGTGGCGGAGGCGCCGCCGAGCTCTCACTGCAGCTGGAAGGTAAGCGGCCGCAGGCCGGGCCGGGCGCGCGGCGGGCACCCCGCGGGGCGCGTCTCCGGCCGCCGCTGCCACCTGCGCGCCCGGCCCAGCCCGCCCGAACCTGCCCGAGCGCCAGCCCCGCCGGCGCGCCTGCCCGGGTCGGGCCGAGGGGTGCTGCGCCGCCCCCAGCCGCGGCCGGGCCTGGGAATCTCCGTCCGGCAGCCGCGGCCGCGTCCGGGGGGCTCGTCGCGGCGCTGTCACTGCGGCCAGGGACCTCACACCTACCGGGGCGAATCCAGAAGCTTCCGCGGGTGTCGGGGTTTCTCGTGCATGGCAGAGCGAGATAACGGGGTCAGCGCCAACATCTTCTTTCCACACACCTCCGGCGGGCGCAGCGCCGCCTCTCGCCGACGATCCTTCGCCTGCGTCTCGGTTATGTAAATGGACCTGCGGGGCGGCGGGAGGGGCCAGGCTGTTCCAAGGCGCGCGCCCCGCGCCCGGGACCCGCGCCCGGTCCCGCGCCTCGAGCGCCGCGCCGCGAGCCCCGCGCCTCGCACCCCGCGCCGGGACCCCGGACCCGCGCTCAGCGCCCCGCGCCCCACACCCCGCGCCCAACGCCCCACGCCGAGCGCCTGGCCCTGCACCCCGCGCCCCGCGCCCGGCCCCGCGCCCCGCATCCTGCACCCGGCCCTGCGCCCCGCGCCCCTGCCCCTCTTCCCTCGCCCCGCACCCGGTCCCGCGCCCCGCGCCCAGCGCCGGGCCCCGCGTCCAGCACCCCGAGCCCCACGTTCTGCTCTTGACCCTGCACCCCGTGCCCCGCGCCCCGCGCCCCGCATCCTGCACCCGACCCTGCGCCCCGCGCCCCTGCCCCTCTTCCCTCGCCCCGCACCCGGCCCCGCGCCCCGCGCCCCTGCCCCTCTTCCCTCGCCCCGCACCCGGTCCCGCGTCCCGCACCCCGCGCCCCACGTTCTGCGCTTGGCCCTGCACCCCGTGCCCCGCGCCCCGCGCCCGGCCCCGCGCCCCGCATCCTGCACCCGACCCTGCGCCCCGCGCCCCTGCCCCTCTCCCCTCGCCCCGCACCCGGCCCCGCGCCCCGTGCCCAGCGCCAGGCCCCGCGTCCCGCACCCCACGCCCCACGTCCCGCGCCTGGCCCTGCACCCCACGCCACGCACCCTGCACCCGGCCCTGCGCCCCGCGCCTCTGCCCCTCTCCCCGCGCCCCGCATCCCGCGCCCGCGTCCATGCCTCTGGCCCTGCATCCAGCGCCTTCACCCACGCGGCCCACTCCCGCACCGCCCGCAGAGTCCCGGCCCTGCATCCTGCCCCGCGCTCCGCGCTTCGCGCCCGGCCCCACACTTTGTGTCTTGTGCCCGGCCCCGCACCTCCGCCCGGTCCCGCGCCCCGCGCCTTCGCGCCGTTGCCAGGCTCCCTGCTGCCTACCCCCGCACCGCGAGCACAGCCCGGGCTTGTGCCCAGTGCGCCCAGTGCTCCCAGTTCTCCGTGCCCGAGCCACAGGCGACTCTGCCCGCTGCAGTGCCGCCGCCTGCGCGGTGCACCCCTCCACCACATTCATTCCTGAGACTTGCTGTCTGGGGTCTGGGCGGCGGGGTAAGGATGTGGCGCTCGCCGCCCCTCTCCTGCCTCCCAGGACGCCCTCCCCATGGCCGAGGTCTGCCTGCGACAGGCAGGACCGGGGACTGGGGAGCTGACCAGATCTGGTGGCCAGGAGATGGGCAGGGAGGAGAGGCGAGGGACAAGAGGGTTGCTGACCCCCGTCGGCCTCACTCGGGGCCACACACCTGCCCTCACTGGAAGGTGCGTCTGCGAGGTGCCCCATTGGCAGCTTCCTCTCCATCGTGAGTGGCCAGATGCCGGCGGTCAACAGGGAATGCCTCTGGAGTCTGTAGCAGAACGCGTGTGCCCAGCAGAGCCTGGACGGTGGGGTGGGGACTCAGCAGGGACCCGGAGCCGCAGCAGGCTCCCTTCCAGCTGCACGGCTGACCATGAGAAGCTTCTGGAGCTACAACCCTGGTGTGCAAGGCCCCCTGCGCATCAGGGACTTTAGAAGGGCAGGTCCTGGGAGCAATGTCCCAGTACAGGAGTGTCCTCTGCAACCAGGCTGTGTCTGTCTGTGTGGGGCCCTGACTCCCTCCCCTCGGGTGCCTGCTTGTTCCCTTTGGTTTGGGGTTGGTCTGGCTTGGGAGTCCTCACCCACAGTGCTCAGGGCTGGCTCTTGGCTACACAATCAGGGATCCTTCTGTCCCTCCCCCTCCCAACCCTGCAGTGACACTGAGTCCTGAGCCTGTGGAGGCTGGTCTGTCTCTCGCCGTTCCTCAGACTGAAACTGGCTTTCCTGCCTCATTTAGCGATCCTGAGACCAGAGCAGGAGGCATGGCCCAGCCCACCTCTCCTGCCAACCACGGCCCTGAGGGGAACAGAGCTGGGGGCTCCCTTCTCCTGGCCCCGGCCCCAGGCCTGTTCTGAGACCCCCCTCCCCACGGTCTCCTCTCTGACACCAGCCGCAGTGGGTCACTCCTGCTGGCCGGAGCTCTGCCCTCTCAGCCTCCTCTCAGCCAGGACCTCAAGGTTTCATTGGCATTAAATTAAAACGGAAGGTGGGGCCAGGGAGGTAGAACGCCAGCAAGGCACTTGCTCGCATGCTGCAGGCTCGCTTGAACCCCAGCACCCCACAGGCTCTCTGAGCACCACCAGCCAAGGCCCAGACACAAAACAGAAAAAGAAAACTGTGAATGAATCTGTGCACAAGAGTTTGTGGGAATGTTTTTAATGAGGCAGAAGTTTTTAAATGTTGGTACACTTAGGAGCAGTTGGTTTTAGTGCGAGGTTCTGCTGTGTTTGGCGACTTTCATTTCTTCTAACTATTTTTGTGTTGGTGCTTCTCTATCTCTTTGTTAAATTTTGTTGCTGTTGTTCCTTTGAATATAGATTTGTTTTCTTTTTTATTTACTTTTTTGGGTCACACCCGGCGATGCACAGGGGCTACTCCTGGCTCTGTACTCAGGAATTACTCCTGGCGGTGCTCAGGGGACCATATGGGATGCTGGGAATTGAACCCGGGTCGGCTGCGCGCAAGGCAAATGCCCTACCCGCTGTGCTGTTGCTCCAGCCCCTAGATTTGTTTTCTAATTTCTTAAATTTTTACTTCTATTTTTGTTATTTCTGTTATCTCTTTAATTTTCTGAATTTTGTTTTCTACTTCTTAATGGTTGCTTAGAGTTTCGCGTGTGTGTACCATGTATACCTGCCAAATGCACACAGGTACACGTGTATATATGTGCTTGTCACTCTCTGGTGACTATAGTCATATATGTGTGCAGTTGTGTGGGTCAGTACATGCATACAATATATACACATATATGCTCACATAACTACATTCATGTCACACAGATGCATGTGTACACACTTCGGTAAAATGCATATAATACCATGTGTGTACCTACATAGGTACATGCATATGACACTGAACTCAAGCGTGTATAACACTACCTACAAACATATCTGCACACGGGGACTGGAGTGATAGCACAGTGGGTAGAGTGTTTGCCTTGCACACAGTCAACCCGTGTTCGATTCCCAGCATCCCATATGGTACCCTGAGCACCGCCAGGAGTAATTCTTGAGTGCATGAGCCAGGAGTAATCCCTGAGCATCGCCCAGTGTGACCTAAAAAGCAAAACAAACATCTACACACAATGCAGTTCCCTCCATCCATGGCCACAGTGTGCATGGTACAGCACCGATGAACACATGGCTGCCTGCGTGCACATAGCTCAGAAGTCATATGTACACACACAGCACTACATGAAGATACACATGTGCTCACCAGACATGTGCAGGTACATATGCACACTTCGTGTGTTTCTGCCTGTGTCACACTATACACTTTTTCAGGCACGTATATCAGCATGTGTGCATATGTGTCATGCTCATATCTTTAGGTGCACACAAAGGTGCATGTGGACTTCATGCATATACTCATGATATACTCATGTCCACATGTGTACAGCCCATGTGCACATGCTGTCTACATGAACATACATACAAACAACATGCATGCTAGTTCATGCATGTATATGCTCCGAACACATGTGCCCTGCACTGTGTTGACATGTGCAGTCACATGTATTTGCTGGGTTGTGCGTAGCCACCATTCTGTACACGTGTGTATTTATATGTGTGGAAAAAGTACTTCCACATGCACTGTCAGTACTTTCCCACGTTTATACACAGGATAGAGGTACATGCATGGCACATATGGTGTACACACAGATGCTTGTGCATGCACTGCACATATACATGTGCTTTCCATATTTGAACACATCTATGTCTGTGTGGGCATGTGTTTCCACACTCTCCAGTTCTTTGCACATGTCACACATGGCACACATTGGATTGTACACAGCACACGGCATCTGGTACACACGGCACACAGTGCCCAGGTTATATACATCACACACCGCATGTGGCACACAGCACACAGCACACACAGCACCTGGGTGTACATGTCACACACTCTGCACAACACACCATGCATTCAGGGCCTGTGCCGGGGCTCTCTCTGGGGGTGCTTGGAAGACTCTGAGAACTTGGTCCTGGCTGCAGGTCATCACTGGCCCCCGAGGAAGTGGTGAGGAGGTGAGGCTGTGCTTGGCACGGCCCCGTATCAGGCTCCTGGCCGGGTTTTGTGCTCCCCGGCTGCTGGCATCCCGCCCTCCGCCTGACTTTACCCACCAAAAGAGGGTCCGAGGTGTGAGGGCAGCTGCAGGGCCCTCCAGGCGGCCACTGCCCCTCCCTCCCGAACCCCATTCTGCCTCATAGTCTGGGCCCCCACCATCGAGTGACCGGGGCCTCTCCTGAGTGCTGAGCAGATGAGCGAGGGTGGAACCGGACATCATGGTGGCAACTGCCCCCCTCTGGGTGGCCCTGGCCTCCTAGACACCCTGTGGTGCCCTCCAGCCTCAGCTGCTGTCCTGTGGCCGCTGTTCCCCCCTCCCTACTGTCTTATCTTGGGCCTAAATATCATTTCTGGTGAGGCCTATGAGGTCACTTTGGCCCACGTGGGCACTTCAGGTGACCTCAGAGCCAGGACTCCAGGCCCCCGCCTCTGGAGGCCATGTAGGCAGAGCATGCAGGATGGTGATGGGTAGGCCCTGGGATGGCTGGAAGATGGGAGCCGATGGCCACCTGGAGGGGGGGCACACCCTGCACCCAGGGAGGGACAGTAAGTCAATGGCTGGCCTGTGCAGAGGACACCTGTCCGTCCACGGGCACACGGGTGGGCTCGCAGGTACACAGGTCGGCCCGTAGGCACACCTGCGTGGTGGGCCCTCCGCTAGCTGTCCCACTGCATCACATGCCGTCTGTGTCCTGGAGCTGCGGCTGTGTGCTCGGTGGCCTGTTCCCGTTTGAGATTTCCTTCAGACCTCAGCTCTGAGGGGGATGGCCTGGGCCTACAGACCCCTCATCCTGCCCCCGCATGGTGCGGCCTCCAGGGTTTGAGGAGTGCTGTGAGGTCGGCGCTGCCCACAGCTCTGAAGGCCCCCTGCCCTGCGTACTCCCTGCCGCAGGAAATGCCCTTGGCACCGCAGCTCAGCACTGCTGCTTTATCAGCGCTGTCTTTGCCCGGCCACTCTCCAGCCCAGCTCATCGGGGCCTGCCCACTCTCCTGCCCTCCTTCCTGGGCCCCAGCGGCTGAGGTGCCAGGCACTGCAGCCCACACTGCCCCATGCACTGCACCCGGCACACCCCTGGGAGCGCCCCACACACCTGGGAGTGCCCGCACACCTTGGGAGTGGCCGCCATACCTGGGAGCACCCAACACACCTGGGAGCACCCAACACACCTGGGAGCACCCAACACACCTGGGAGCACCTGGCACACCTGGGAGTGCCTGCACACCCCTGGGAGCACCTGACACACCTGGGAGTGCCTGCACACCTTGAGAGTGGCCGCCATACCTGGGAGCACCCAACACACCTGGGAGTACCTGACACACCTGGGAGTGCCCACACACCTTGGGAGTGCCCACCATACTTGGGAGCAACTCACACACCTGGGAGCACCTGGCACACCTGGAATCACCTACACACCCCTGGGACACTTGACACACCTGGGAGTGCCTGCACATACCTGGAAGCGCCCACACACACCTGGGAGCACCCGACACACCTGGGAGCACTCAGCACACCCCTGGGAGCACCTGACACACCTGGGAATACCCGGCACACACCTAGGGGTGCTCACATACATCTGGGGATGCCCACAGATTCATACAGATGTATGTGGGCATCCCCAGATGTATGTGAGCACCCCTAGGTGTGAGTACTGCACACAACTCGGGGTGACCGTAAACACCTAAGAGCATCTGCACACACCTGGGGATACTCACACACAACTGGGAGTGCCCCCCCGCACACCCCTGGGAGCACCCACACACACCTGGGAGCACCTCCACAGACAGCTGGGGGTGCCCACATGCAGCTGGAGTGTGAGCTACACCTGGAGCACAGTCACCCCTTCTGGATGCAGTCACACTCTGGGGTCCTGTGGTCTTCAGCACACCTGCCTCTTCGGTGGCATCACCTCACCTTGAATCTGCCACTTCTTGCTGGGTGTCCCTGTGAGGATGAGAGTGACCCTGAGGGTGACCCTTGGGAGGATGGAGCTTTCTGCACCTGATGTCTCCTTACTGCAGTTACCACGGATGCAGCCTCAGGCAGCCTCAGTGGGCAGGGGCAGGCACAGAGCCCGAAGGTGCACCTGAGGCACCTCTGTCTGCAGTCCTCACAGCTGTCACAGCCCTGGCACATCGACCCGCCCCATCCACCTGTCCCTGTGTATACCGGGGGGCTCGACCCCTGCACCCAGTCCCCCTCTCTTTGCTTGTTCCCTGCCTAGGGCCCTGACAGGCTGTGCCCACATCTGGGTGGCTGTGGGGAATGGACACTGCCTGGAGCCCTCGCCTGGGGGGCAGGGTGCATGTGGCTCCTGTGTGAGGAGTGAACGACAGGGGAGGCTGTGTGTCTCCGAGCAAGCTGGGGCTTCCAGAAGCTTCTCAGCTGCTTCTCGGGGCTGCCAAGCCCAGCTCATGGCCTGTTTCAGCTCCTGTTTCCGAGAAATGGGGTCAGTGATAACAGAGGTGCACCTGCCCACCTGGCCACGGTCCCTCAGGTCACACTGTGGGCACAGAGCCGCAGGCACATGCCTCCTCCCTCTGCACCCCCAGAGGTGCTCCAGGCTCGGGGGATCCGCTGCCTCGAGGGGCTGCCCCAGCTTGGAGAGGTGCTGCTGTGGCGCTGCCCTAGAGCTCAGGGGGGCTGTGGGTCTGGATGTGGGCAGGAGGGCTGTGTCGTGAGGTGGTGGGCACTGCAGGTCCTGATACTGTGTCCTCTTGTCTCTGGCATTGCTCCAGAAGGGGGTAGGGAAGTGTGGGAGGAGCCAAGCTGTAGGGGGCACACCTGGTGAAGGTGGACCCAGTGACCACACTGGCCCCCACGGCTTGGCCAGCAGCCTGCCCGCAGCCTCAGGCCACGCAACCCCGTCCCTGCTCCGGGCCCTCATGCCATCGTGTTCCTGTCCTGGGGGGTTGTGGGTGTTGGGCAGGTGAAGTAGGTGACCTCAGCTCCCTCCTGCAGCACCATGGCCGCCAACAGGACCCCCCCTAAGTCCCCTGGGGAGCCCGCCAAGGACAGGGCAGCCAAGAGGCTGTCGCTGGAATCGGAGGGTGCTGGCGAGGGGGCAGCTGCTGCGGAGCTGAGCGCCCTGGAGGAGGCTTTCCGGAAGTTCGCGGTGCACGGAGACACCAGGGCCAGTGGCCGGGAGATGCATGGGAAGAACTGGTCCAAACTGTGCCGCGACTGCCAGGTCATCGACGGCAAGAACGTCACCGTCACCGACGTGGACATCGTCTTCAGCAAGATCAAGTGAGTGCTTCCTGTGTGCTGGCCAGCGCTCGGCTGCCCTGGGCAGCCCCCTCTCAGAACAAAGCCACAGAAAGGGGGCCAGAGCCTCTGTGTTGGGTGGTCTGGGGCCCCACTCAGGGGCGCTCTGGCCCTCGTGCTCCAGCTCAGGGGGTTGGGTGGTCCATGCGGCTGACCTCCGGCGGGGGGGTCTGGGGTGAACTGTGCCTTGGTGGTCTGACTTGGAGCTGGTCCTCAGTCCTGGCCAGTGCACCAGGCTCAGCTCAGCTCCCAAAGGAGTGCTCTAGTGTGAGCAGAGCTTGTGGTGGATGGTTGGTTCAGTGCCATGTGACTCAGGGAGCCCAGGGCGGTGTGTGCCCGAGTGTTCATGTCTGAGTGTGCGTGCCTGAGTGCTCGTGTCTGGGTGCTCATCCTGTGTAGTCATGACTGAGTGCACGTGCCTAGGTATGCTTACGCCAGAGTGCTCATGCCAGAGTGCTCATGTCTGCGTGCTCATGCCTGTGTAGTCAGTCATGCCTGAGTGTGCATGCCTGAGTGCTCGTGCCTGAGTGCTCACGTCCCTGTGTTTGTGTCTGTGTGCATGTGTGTGCTGTTATGTGATCACGTTACATATTTTCTGAGTGAGCCTGTGTATATGCACTGTCCAATAGTGTCACCTTTTGTGCATGCATGCAGCTTACCCTTGTGTTCTTGCATGTGCACACGTGTTCCTGTGTGTATGCTCTGTGCTTGGGCTCCTCCGTGTTTACACATGTTCCAGTGTGTATGCTCCGTGCTTGTGTTCCCGCGTGTGCACATGTGTTTCTTGTGTGTATGCGCCATGCTTGGGCTCCTGTGTGTGCTCCTGTGTTCCTGCGTGTGTGCTCTGTGCTTGGGCTTCTGGCTCTGTTCCTGTGAGTGCATATGCTTTTCCCCGTGTGCTTGACGTATGTCCTGTACATGGGTGCTCACTTGTGCTGAGTGCATGCTCACGTGTGTCGTCTAAATGCTGGGCTGCTTCTCTGTGTGTTGCCTCCTGTCTCACAGTCTCTGACCTGAGCTCCTTCCCCTGAAGTTCAGCTCACAGCACTGGGGGACAGGGTCAGTGTGGGGAAATGGAGTCAGCATGGGGGATGTGGTCAGTATTGGGGGCGGGGCCAGTGTAGGTATGGGGTCAGTGTTGAGGATGGGGTCAGTGTAGGGATGGGGTCAGCGTGGGGGATGTGGTCAGTGTAGGGGTGGGGCCAGTGTGGGGTATGTGGTGTGTAGGCACGGGGTCACCGTGGGCACAGGCCAGCAAGAGGAGCGGGGTCGGTGTGGGGAGGGGTCACTTTGGGGTGGGGTCGCATAAGCCTTGGGTGACTGTAGGGATGGGGTCAGTGCTTAGCTCGCAGGCTCCTCCTGTCCCAGGGCCACGTCCTTGAGAGGGGACTCTCCTGGGGAGACTGGCATTGTGGCAGGGCACCCAGGGACCAGAGCATAGGGGAGGTGGCATGGAGCAGAGAGGGGAGTGGGGTGCCACGTCCGAGGGGCTGCACCCCAAGACCAGGTACATGGAGGAGGGTTCCAGGTCCTGGACAGGCCCTCAGCTGCTAGGGAGGTGCTGGCCTGCTCCCCACACCTGGTGCCCTCTAGGTTCTTCTCTTATGCCTTGGTGGATGGTGTCCGGAGTCCAGGGCAGGCTGGAGCAAAGGGTCCCAAGAGCTGTGCCCTTGGGAAGGTTCCAGAAGGGCTCAGGAGGCAGGGTGGGGCGTCCATGTAGGGTCACCTGCCAACTGACCACTACAGGTGAGCAGAAGACTGGAGCCTCTTAAAATGGTGATGTGGGTGCTGACGTTGACCTTCACTAAGCTATATCCAAGTGTAAGCCACTGGTGGTACATGCAGGCGTCAGCTGACCTCAATTCCTTCTGCAGAGTTGCCATGTTACTGCAGAGTCAAATGAATTCATATGTGTGTAGATATGCCATAGGCACACATGAACAGGCATATACTCAAGCTCACATATGTGCAGATATGCCACAGATACATGAGCAGGCATGTACACATGAGTTCACACATGTGCAGAGAAGCCAGACACGCGTGAGAGGATATGTACACAAGATCACATGTATTCAGACACAGGGTACATGTAAGCATGTGCAAGCACAAAGCTCATGTGTGTATGCATGCATTGAGCTCTAACTTGTACAGAGATGCACACAGGCATATGTGAGTGGGTTTGTACACATGAGCTGACACGTCTGCAGAGATCCGCACAGGCACACGCGAGTGGGCGTGCACACATGAGCTGACACGTCTGCAGAGATCCGCACAGGCACAAGCGAGTGGGCATGCACACACAAGCTGACACAGATGCAGAGATGCGCACAGACACATGTGAGATCTGCATACCTGACCTGATGCATGTGCAGACACTAATGAGATGGCCGGCTCCCACATCATGGGCCCTGGGCAGCTGCAGCTGAGGTGTGTAGGTGCTGGTCTGGGGAGCCGTGCGGAGTCCCTGTGTGCGCAGAGCTGGGCATATGGGTCCAAGTGGCCACAGGACCCAGGGGAGGCAGCGTTGGCAGCCGATAGGCGGCCTGGGCGGGGCACGGTGGCTTCTGTGAGTCGGTTGTCATGGCAGCAGTGTTTGTTGTGCTGTTGCTACAGTAAGTCTCAAACAGGCTTTGCAGCTGCACCAGGAAGAGGCTGAAGGGGCTCCCAGGACCCCTGCAGGCCTGGTCTGCACCGGCTGCCTGGGCAGGGGTTCTTGGGGACCGGTGGGACAGGGTGGGAGATGGGGTCTCCACTCAAGTGTGGTGTGATGGGAACTGCAAGACCCTGGCAGAAGCCAACAAAGACCACCGGGAGTCGGGGGGCTGGTAGGTTATGTCACCTGCCCCCACCCTCTGCAGGGGCTGGATTTTGGGGTCCCAGGTGTTGCCTCGTGTTGGGACTCCAAGCTGGGGTTCAGGCTGTTATTTGTGTCCGCCTTGGCTATGTGGACACAAGGGCTAGCTTGTGAAGCTATGTGAAGCTCAACAGAAGGGCTAGCTGGCAGGACGAGGCCCTGAGCCTTGGCCTGGAGTGGTGTCTGTGCCCCCCCCCCCACCAGGCCTGTCAGACAGGAAGTCAGGAGACCCCAACTACAGTCCCGGAACCCCGCCCCTGACACAAGCCACAGCAGGGGATCGGGCTCCCGGGAACCCACCCTGGCAGCAGGGAGGCCCGTGGCGGGCCGGACTGGTGCAGCCCTGTCATTCCTGGCCAGGCTGAGTCCCGGGGACCCACCCCGGGAGCCAAGCAGAGGGATGCGGCTCGTGGAGGAGATGGCCCGGCCAGGCGCACACTCCTCCCCCCGCATCCCTGCTCTGGGAACCCAGGGCCAGCCTGGCAGGTGCATGGGCAGCCGTGATGGGGGGCGTCCGGCTGCTCTGAATGCGCCTCTGACCCATGGTGACTCAGGCTGGTGGTGCCTGGTGCTGGGCTGCCGTCAGGCCTGGCACCCGCATGCCAAGCCCAGCAGGCCATGAATAGGGGACAGACGTGCCTTTGACGGCCCAGGACGGGGCCAGAGGGCAGGCGCTGTGTCCCTGCAGAGAGCAGGAGTGGGGCCGAGCCCATAGGTGCTACGTGCTGAGTTGGATGATGGACGTGGCCCCCTCTATCATGGCCCAAGCTGGCCACCCATCACTGGGCCTTCCCCAGGCCCTGGGTTCCAGCACGTAGCGTGGGGGAGGCTACAAGTAGTGGCTGGTCCAGTTCCTTTGGACAGTGCTGGAAGCCCCACGTGGGGCTCAAGCAGCTGAGACCCCTCTAGGAGCAGATGGTTCCTAGCCCAGGGTCCAGCAGAGCCCCCCACCCTGTCTCATGGGGGTGGATGGTAGCGGGGGCTCACACAGGACCTTGTGGCTCCTGGTGGGATGAGCCTCTCTGAGCTTTCCCAAGGTTCACAAGCTGGGCCGTCGCCCATGGCAACTGCCTGTTGGGTGTAAACAGGGCCCGGGGCAGGTGGGGGAGGGGCCGCCTGCCACCAGTGACCTCCAGCTCCAGGCTGCCGTGGGGGTGGGGTGCCCCGCCTCTGCCTAGCATTGCCCCCGCCCCTTCCACAGGGGCAAAGGCTGCCGAACCATCACCTTTGAGCAGTTCAAGGAGGCGCTGGAGGAGCTCTCCAAGAAGAGATTCAAAGACAAGAGCGGCGAGGATGCCGTGCGCGAGGTGCACAGGCTGGTGGAGGGCAAGTCCCCCATCATCTCGGGCGTGACGGTGAGTGCGGGGCTGCCCGGGCAGGGCGCAGGGCGGCGGGGGCTGGGCTGACCCCCTGACCGCCTGTCCCCTGCAGAAAGCTGTCTCCTCACCCACCGTGTCAAGGCTCACAGACACCTCCAGGTTCACCGGGTCCCACAAGGAACGCTTCGACCCGTCGGGCAGGGGCAAGGGCAAGGCGGGCCGTGTGGACCTGGTGGACGATTCGGGCTATGTGCCGGGCTACAAGCACGCGGGCACCTACGACCAGAAGGTGCAGGGGGGCAAGTAGCCACGGGGCCCTCAGGCCGGGTCCTGCCCTCACACTTCTACATTCCTGCACTCACCTGGGCTGACTCGGACCTCAGGGACCTCAGGGACAGGGCAGGGGGCTGGAAGGGGTCCGGGCCTCTCCCCACCCTGGAGCCCCACCACACTTCTCTCCGACCCCAGGTGTGCCCCCAGCCCCCCTCACCTCTCTAACATGCCCACTGCCTCCCAGTCCGGAAGTGGCGGGGGCGGGGCTCCGGCCCCACCCCAGCCCGCCTGGCTCACGTTGAGATGGGGACCACAGGCAGGGGACAGCGCCCGAGCTCAGAGTCACTGTTGTATTAACACACTAACAAGGCATCAGTGCACCAGGGCAGCCCCAAGCCCAGCACAGCATCTGCCCCGTGTGGGCAAGGGGCAGCGAGCACAGGGACTCACACACGCTCCCACGTACACACACGTACTCACACACACGGGCTCACAATGCTCCTCAGCTCATACATATGGCTCATAGACACAGACACACACATGACACGCACAGACCCACACTCATGAGCACACGTGGACATGCATAGACCCACACCCATGAACACACACTCATGGACACGCACAGACCCATGCCCATGAACACACACGTGGACATGCACAGACCCACACCCATGAGCACACACATTGACATACATAGACCCACACCATGAACACACACGGACACGCACAAACCCATGCCCATGAACACACACGTGGACACGCACAGACCCACACCCATGAGCACACACGTCGGCATACATAGACCCACACCATGAACACACACGGACACGCACAAACCCATGCCTGTGAAGAACACACGGACACACACAGACCCACACCCATGAACACACTCACGGACACACACACAGACCCACTCCCATGAACACACACAAGTACACGCACAGACCCATGCCTGTGAACACACATTCATGGATACGCAATGACCCAAGCCTGCCAACACACTCATGGACACACATAGACCCATGCCTGTAAATACACACATGGACACACACAGACCCACTTCCATGAACACACACAGACATGCACAGAACTCACACCCACGAACACACTTATGGACATGCACAGACTCACACCCACGAACACACACATGAGCATGCACAGATCCACACCCATGAACACACACACTCATGGACATGCACTGACCCATGCCCCCGAACACACACACAGATGGACAAGCACAGACCCATGCCCATGAACAAAGATACGTGCACAGCGTTCACGTGCACATGTTTATGCACACACCTACTCTTGTGTGCATCTGTTCACACATGTTCATGGCCCCACTGGGCCTATCTGTTGAGAAAGGGAGGCTGCAGCCACGCAGGAGAGTGACCAGCAGAGTGAGGTCAGAAGGCATGAGGAAAGGGTGTGAAGGAGAGCCAGCCTGTGGATTTTCTAAGCGGAAGCCAGAAACAATGTGTGCATGTCCCCAGGATGTGCCTCTGCTGTCCCTGCAGGGCCCCTGCCCGGGCTTCCTGGAGGGGGCGTCCCAGCACAAACGGGGAGACCCCGAGAGAGCATGCCCTGCCTCGGGGGCCTCACCCAGCAGCCCACCGGCCATCAGTGCTGGCACCAGCCTTGCTGAGCCCTAGAGATGGACATGATCAGGACTCACTGCTCTCTCCGGACAAAGCTGCCTGTCCAGGTGCTCTCAGTGGGAATGGAGACCCGAGCGCCGACCCTCCCTGGGTTGACTGCTGGCACATGCCAGAAGCCAGGCTGTGGGCCTCACCCTGACCCCATCCCTGCCTACCCCCAGGTCCCCGTGGGTCAGGCTGCCCTCGTCCATCCCCAACACCTGGCTCTGCCCCTCACAGTCAGTGGGTAACTGGATGCCATGGTGGCCTCACTGCCCTGCACAGAGCATGTGCTTGTCCCCCCCCCACCCCCGGCTGCCTTGGCCCAGGGCACACCACAGCATGCTGTGCCCACTCGCTTTTGCCTACCTGGACCACACCCTAGTCATCTACTGTAACCCAGCAAACTGCACAGCCAGCCCCGAGGCCTAGCACCGAGGTGGGTGGGGGCATTGGGCCCACGCCTGCTTCTTTCTACTCACTGCCAAAGGACGAGAACTGACTTCACCGCAGGCTGGAGCAGGGCTGGGTTACAGTTCCAGCCTGTGGGAGGTCAGGGACGGCCTGTGGACATTCCCGGATGGTGGCCACAGCTCGGGCGAGCCTCACACCCTCACGGACTCATGCAGGCTCTGCGCTGGCTGGGGCCTCCCCTGCCGGCCAGTGTGTCCAGGGAGCACACCCCAGTGACTGCCGCTGACAGCCTTGAGTGGAGGCTCATGGGCGCGCCCCAACCCAGAAGGTGCTGTGCACACTTTTAACCCTGAACGTCAAAGCAAGATGAACGCAAAGGAGACCTGCACAGCTTAGGGGCCACTAGGCGCTCAGGGCCCGCTGTCAAGTGTTGTGGAAGGGACTGACGCTGCAGATTGGGTGTTTTCCAACTGTGGGGCAGTGGGTGCAGCAGGGACCCCTACTGGGCTCAGAGCGTGCCTGATGGACCCGCTATCCTGCCCACAGCCTGGGCCAGTTCCCACCACCCTCACTGTTGTTGGGCCTGGTGCCGCCCTTAGTGATCAGTTCCCATCTGTATCTGCCACTGCCATGTCTCTTGGTCACTGTGTCACTGTGCCATGATAATAAAGGTGTCATCTGTGCTCTCCGTGGTGTCCGGCAGCGCCTGGAGGGATCTGGGGATGGGACCGAACCCCCCAAACAGGAGTGCTGCAGCCAGTAATACCTACCTGGAGCCAGCCAACGCCAAGGGCACGGAGGCAGCTCAGCAGGACCCAGCTTGCTCTTGCACAAGGTCCTGGTCCATCCCCTGCGGGGAAGAGCTGAGAGGCTGGTTTCTGTGGTTCTCCCAGCAGGGGCAGCTCACTAACCCCAGGGGGCAGGGGGCACCACACAGGGCAGTTCCCAGTCAGGAACTGAGCTGCCTCTAGGAACTTGAGCAGTGAGGCCCAGAACTCAGTGGGGTCCAGGTGTCAACTCACACAAACCTGCTGCAGTAACACAGACGTGCCACTCTGTGGCGTGAGAAATGTCCCAGAGTGGAGAGAGCAGAGTGACCAGTGTGGGTGGGAAGAGACACAGGTCAGGAACCAGCTCATGTCTGTAGCACGGACATGGCACGGAGAAGCTCGGGCCACGCACACAGCAGCTTCACCACAGGAACCCTGAGTTGGCACAGATGAGCACAGTGTAAGACTGGAGAGTAAACAGAAGCTTCTGGCCATGAAGCCAAGGCAGGGAGATGGCCCAGAGTGGCCTCTAGACCCTGCCCAGGGCACTGGGCCAGAACCAAGAGCAGCCTCTCTCATCAGTCACCTGCATCTCTCATGTGGACTGTTCCCTGGGTCTCTGCTACTGAAATGCCATGGGAAGACCGAGCATCTGAAAACGGTACCATAAACAAGCAGATTTGAGTGGTGTGGTAGTAAGTGTAGGCCTCATGCTGAGCTTCCCCATTTTAGCAGCAGCAAAGCAAAGGCCAGTGAGCACCAACTTAGGCAGTGCCCTTTCGGGAGACGGGGCCTCAGTGGGGGCACTGTGCTGGGTACATGAGCCCCGTCTCTCTCATGGGGGCTTGATCCTACACTGTATGCAGGGACAGGAGCATGAGGGCCAGCCACAGCCCTGCAGGGCCAAGCAGATGTTCAAGTCAACATCCCCCCAAATAGTGCAAGGGCTGAAAAGCACTCAAGAGTCCCTCTAAGGGGCTGGAGCGATAGTACAGTGGGTAGGGTGTTTGCCTTGCACGCAGCCGACCCGGGTTTGATTCTCAGCATCCTATATGGTCCCCCGAGCACCACCAGGAGCAATTCCTTAGTACAGAGCCAGGAGTAACCCCTATGCATCGCTGGGTGTGACCCAAAAAGGAAAAAAAAAGTCCCACTAATGTCCAGGAAAGAGACCTCTGCAATCTCACCCCGACAGGGCAGATGGGCCAGCCCCCTCCTTCTCCAAGGAGAGGTGTCCTATGTCCCAGAGACACACAGGGACAGCTGGATGAGCCATGCCAGAGGAGGGGTCAGGAAGCAGAGTGCTGGAGAGGCCAGAGCGCCCTCTGCTGCGCAGAAACACAAACCACACCACGAAAATGAACTGTCCCTCCCATTTCTCAGACCCATCACACACACAGGCAGGATGTGTCATCTGGGGCCCAGAGAGCCCACAGCAGGGATCTGGCTGACTCCACAACCTCACAGAAGGCCTGGAAACAAGCATCTCCTCAGAAGCTCTTCCTGCAGTAGACGTTAAAAATCAGTTTGGACAGAGACAGAATAGCGGGGAAGGCACATGCCTTGTACACAACCAACACCTGTTTCATCCCTGGCTTCACATATGGTCCCCTGAGATCTTCCAGGAGTGATTCCCTGAGCGTAGAGCCAGGCGTAAGCCCTAAGCATCGCCAGGAGTGGCTCTAAACAATTACAGGCGAAGGGTGAAGGGACCTGGCTTCTGTGGCCCACCCAAGTTCAATCCAGTAGTACACATGGTTGCCCAAGCCCCTCATATCCTCTTTAGGCCTCCTGCACACTAACAAGGGCTCTCCCAGTCCAAAAGATGACTGTTTACCAAAAAAATCACATTTGCATATGACAGACATTTGTCAAGGAAAATGACATTTCATGGTCTGTCAGGACATAGTTTTCAGAAGTGCTAGCAAGGGAGAAACAGTCAGGGCTGGATCCGTGATTTCACTGGGGGCTTTAATCTTGCAAACTGTTTCTCATATTCCCACGACTATCGTTCTACTAAGTCCAGGAACTTCCTTGTTCCTGCTTGTCAGAACAAATGGTTTCATAATCCAATGACAAGTTTACCTCGAACCTAAAAGGAGCCACTTTTCAGAACAGTGTGATAACATTTTTATTAAATAATTTCTCCTTACAGAAAAATGATTGTAGCAACAGGTACAGTTCCCTCTGTATGCAGGCATGCAGGGAAATGCTGCTGCTCACTCTACATGGCTGACCCACGGCAACAAAGTGCTAGTCTCAGAAGGGCAGGTGCTCTGCAGGGAAGGGAGGAAGCAGGGCGAGCACCATGGTCAGGACGGACAGCTGCTGAGGGGTGTGCCGGTGGCTGGGAACAGGGCCAGGGTCTTCTTGAGCTCCTTGTAGCTCCAGTGCAGCTGCTCCACCTCGGCCTGATGCTGCGCCCGTGCCTGGGCTAGCTCCTGCAGCAGGTGCTCGTTGGTGCTCACCAAGGAGCTGGGGGAGAGGGCGGTGCTCAGCCTGGCCCTCCCCCACACACCCCTACCCCCCGCGGAGCCCGATCCCCCCCCCCCCAGCCTATGCCCCGCCCAGAAAACTCTTCAGGGCCTCAGGCCTGTTGATCCCTAGCTCCTTTCTTGATGGGGCCACAGCAATGGCCACTGGCATTGGGACCCCAGTATATGAGCACAAGGCAGGTGCCCCATGACCAGGCTATGGCCTGGCACCTCCTTTTTCCTGCTGCTCTTCCTGCTGGTTTCAGCAGGTGCAGGGCAGGGTGAAGGGGCTACCTGCCCGGCTGTTCCCCACCAGCCTGCCATCCTCTACTCAGGTGGGGGTGGGGGACATAACCAGGAACAGACCAGAGAGGCCCGAAGTTAGGGGCACAGCATAGCACCACCTCTAGGGACCCCCATTCCTGACACCACTCAGCACAACATGTCACCGCACAATCCCTCTGCACAGGGTAGCTCATTCCTTATACCATATGTCACCTCTCATGTCACAACTCAGCAGTCATCTCACACGTCACCTATCACATCATGCCACCTCATGTGACATGTCACTCTATCACATCACCATATGTCATAGCTTGTCATTTCTGTCACGTCACCCCTCCCATGTCACAGCAGCCAACCCACACAATCACATCACGCTCATGCACCTCAGATCACACTGATCACATGTCACAGCACGCCACTGGACCTGAGCACCTGTGGCTCTCCTGGAGCATCTGGATGAGCTCCTGGATCTTGTCATAGTGCTCCAGGTGCTGCTTCAGCTCCACCAGCTCCCCAGAGAGCCGCCGGACACTTGTCTGGAGTCCTGAAAGACAAAAGCAACAGGGGACTTGGTCAACATGGTTCACATGCTTGAATGATGGTTCCCAGGCTGGGGCTGGACCTGGGGCTCAGGGAAAAGGAGCTAAGGAACTAGGTGGGCTCCGCACAGAAGAGCATAGCCCCCATCGAGCTCCATCATCCTACACAGGAAAGCAAGCAGCAGCTTCCAGCTGCCTGAACCAGATCCCCCAGGGCTCTAAGTCCCCAAGCAGCAAGCCAGGACCCATGTGGGCCTGTAGGTCTGCAGAAAGCTACAGAGAAGCCAAGCGCCCTCTGACCTCATATCTGCAGGGGACACAGCGCCTGTATGCACATTCATGCCCATGTCCTTGAAAGAGGGTGCCCACGGTAGTCAGGCTTCAGGACCAGGCTGCAGAGGACCCGCAGGGGTGAGGAAGAGGCAGTGTGGAGGGGTGGGCACCCTGGCTTCAGGCTCCCCCAAAATCCCATGAATTGGATGCTGGGAGGAACAACGTGGAGACAGAGCGTAAGATATGGCAGCACCTGATGACCAGGCGCCCTGAAAAATGTCTGGGTCTCATGGGTGAGGGGAAGCGGCAGGCTGAGGGAAGGGGCGCAGGGCCTGTTCCAGACAAGCTGACTTGGGGCTGGGCTGGCTTGGCTGAGGTTCCGGGTACTCAGATGGGCCAGAGCAGCCTTTGAGGCAGCCTGCTGGGTTCCTCCTGACAGGCAATACTGCTAGCTGGTGAGGGTCCCACAGCAAGGGACAGCAACTAAAAAGCAGTGGTAGTGAGGGCAGGGCCTCTTAATTTTGGTGTAGGCAGTCAGGAAAGTTTCTCAAGGAACTCAGGATAGATGGACTTCCCTGGACTTTCCTTACACATCATGGGAGTGTGAGATCCCAGGGTCCCTTCAGGAAAGGTCACCAGAACTGGCCTGAACCCTGAGTTAGTCTACAGGGCACATCTATTTTTCTTTTCTTTTCTTTTTTTTTTTTTTTTTGTCAGTGTTCAGGGTTTACTCCTGGAGATGCTTGGGGGACATTATCGGGTGCCCTGGAATAAAACCAGGGAAAACGCCTTAACCCTTATGCTATCTCTCTGGCCAGGAGAGGGGAGATTTCTGAGAAAAGACAGAGATTCTGACCACTCAGTCAGCAATGTGTAAGGACTATAATAGAAACGCAGTGTCCTGCCCAGGGACATGCAGACACAGGGCCAATATATGCTGCCCAGCCCTGGCAGGTGGTTTTGGGCCTGAGAGATAAAAACAGTCCGAAGTTTGACCTGCAGGCCTGGGGGAGGGTGGGCACAGAAGGCACCATGGCACTATCACCTGACCTTCCTCCAAAGCCCCCAGGTCTCAACTTAAAACACCAAATGTCCTTATGTAAATGTAGCCAGAGGCTGGAGGGAGGAAATGAAGAGCCCTTGGGCTTGCACAAGGAGCCCAGCAGACCCTGAGGAGTCTGCAGAGCCCAGGCCAAGGGCAGCAGCAGTGGAGGCCTCTGCCCCTAATGTAGTCACTGCCACGATTCTGCACTGGCTGGAACCAAGATTCCAGACAAGAGCAGATGAACACTCACCAGTGATCTGCAGATTCAGTGTGGCTGATGCCTCTGCATTCTTTACTTCTTTTTTCATATTGAACAAAAGCGATTTTAAACTAGTATTCTCCTCCAAAGATCTGTCTAAATGCTGCTTCAGGTCATCCTAGGGACATAGAAGCACAGAAGACAAATTTAGCACATACCTTACACTACTGCCGTCCCCATGGCTAAGGAGGCTGCAGACCCCAGGGAAGACAGCTTAGAGCCCACCCCACCCAGGAAGCCTGTAGGGGCCTCCAGGCCACCCTCATTTGGCTCTTCCCCTCAAGCTATGGGTGGGACCCTCCTGCCCCACCAACTAGTAGCCATGGCATATGCTCACCACTCATGACACCAGCCAAAGGCCAACAGCCCTGTCTACCCTATGGGGCCACGTGAGCTGAGAAATGCAGCCCAGAAGTGGGTTGAGTTCTCTGGACAGAGGGACCTTCTACATGATCCCACAGCTGACATGGCTTCCCTTCACCCCAGCCTCAGACCCTAGGCTGAGGTGGAGGGGAAGTAAGATGTTCACAGGGATCCCTCACAAGGTGGACAGATGTGGGGGGTTACCCCCACCATATCAGCAGATGGTCCCTTTCCCACCCACGTCAGTATGGTGACATACTCCTTGTGCCCCTGGTGACTGGCTCTTAGCTAGAGGCGCTCTGCAGCTGCTGAAAGACCCACCAGGCGCTGCCCGTCAGCATCTCAGCCCACCTAGCTGCCAGGAGTTTCCCTCCACCTTCTGCCCACAGAAGTCCTAAGGTCAGAAGTCCTGTGCTCCTGTCAACACACTCAGGGGTAGCACATGTATATGGTGTGAGCCAGGGCCTACTACTCTTCCTCTGCACATGGACATTCATTACACCGACCCCATGGACTGAAGAGGCTGCTTCTCCACAGCACCCCATTAACTGCCCCTTTTAGGGTTCTGTGGTTCCCTAAGTCCCAGTGGTTCTGCCTCTTTTTTCCTGCTAGTATAACCGTGGCCATAGTTTACAGTGCAATGTGAAACAAAGAGTTGTGGACTAAGTCTTCTGTGGACTAAGAGAAAGAATTGATTTTGGGGCCACAGAGAGTTCAAAGGTTGAAGTGGGGCATGCAGGACTCTGGCTTGCTCCCCAGCCCTACAGGATACCAGAGCTGCACCAGGGAGTCGCCCCTGGACACTGCCAGGTGTTGCCCCAAACCACCACCACAAACAAAAACAGAAAAGGGAGCTGAGTGATAGTACAGCAGGTAACACATCTGCCATGCATGTGGCCAACCTAGGTTCGATCTCCAGCACCCCATATGGCTCTCCCACAGCCTGCCAGGAGTAAGACCTGAGCACAGATGAGCGTGACCTGAAAAAAAAAAAAAAAAACGAAAAAAACAAAAACCCTACAGGAATCACCTAAGGATACAAAGTTCAGAACAATTTTATCCCTGTAAAAGTGCCAACATTTGAGGGATTTTTAGGGATGGCATGAAGTCTGGAGATGACTGGGTAGTACTAATGATTTCCCAACACAGGCTAGCTCCCCTCCTCTCTGCCTTGTTCTGCTCAACAGCAAAAGGTGCTAAGGATGGAGCCAGGCCCTCCCACACCCTCTCTTTCAGTGTAGTGATCTTCTCATTTTCTGAGTCTAGTGGAGAATTCCTTGAAAATGTATCTTTTCAAATACCAGACTATTTTCATTGATTATTCCACTGTTTTCTGTTCTTCATCTGAATGACTCCAGCTTTTAATTCTTCCCTTCAGCTCACTCAGAGTTGGGGTTAGGTTTGTTGCTTCCCGGGTTCCTCTGCAGGTCAGGCCAAGCTCTTTCATGAGTGCTTTTGAGTGCTTTCCCCCTCTGAACCTACAAGGTTTTTCTGCTGCTGGTCAGTGGAGACTGGCTCAGAGTGCTTGCTAGCTGTGTAGCCCTGCAGTGCCACCTGGTGGACGTCTGGGGCCTGGGGCAGCAACAGAGGCCATGCTGCATTCCGGGCCCCTCCTTTGCTTCGCTCTGGGAGCCAGCTGGGGGCTTGGGGGTCTGGGTGTATGGGCAGTGAACAGGTGCAACTTCACCCTGCCTCCATCTCCCACCAAGATGTCCCTAAGGCCTGAGTCCAAACATCCCAGGTGTTGTCCCCTTGAGGTTGGGGTCTGTGAGGCCCGACTGGCAGGAGGTCTGCCCTGAGGTCCATCAGGCAGTGCAGGACCCAGGGAGGGAAGTGAGAGGATTCCCTGCCCCTACACCCCGCGGGCACAGGCTCACCCTCTCCTTGCGAGTGCTGCTGAGCTCCGCCACCACCGTGGCCAGCTTCAGGTTGTGAAGCTGCTGCTGCTCGGCCAGAAAGTCCCCATCTAGCTCCTGGTCCATGGGGCTGCTGTCCAGAGGGGCGGCCAGCTCATGGGCAGAGGCCAGGACTTGTTGTGCCTGAGCTAGAGCAAAAGCAGGTCTCAGCACAGCCTGGCAGACATACCAACAGGCAGTTTCAGACAACAGCACTTGCCTCAGCCTGTGGGCTGAGGGTGCAAGGGTACCCCCAATCCCTAGCAGGGCTGGAGGCTCTGCCTGGGGCTGTGCTCTCCTCAGTTGTACCTTCCAAGGACTCCTTGTATCCTGGGCAGAAGTGCAACCTGGGTTCACCTTCTGCTGCAGAATGGGGGATGAGGACCCCCAGGCATCTTGCTCCAGAAGATGAAACTCAGGGGTGGCTAGATGCCACAGGATCAGCTGGAAGAGCTGGATATTGTCCCATGGGAACACGGAGAGCTCAGGTCCCAGAGAAGGTACCCCAAGGCCTGTGGGTGCTCCTGCCTCTCCATAATCTTGCCTGACCCCCTCAAGCTTCTACAGGACTTGGAGACTCCACAGTAGTCTTCAGAAACAAGGATGGGGACAGGCTTCCCACGGCCCCACACTAGGTCCTCCCATCAATGCCACATGCTCAGGCTCTTACCCAGGAAGGCCTTGTCGCTATGGAGGGAATGGCAGCCCGTCCAGTGTCTGTCTACCAGGTCCAGCAGTGCCTCTAACAGTGCCCCTTGAAGGCCAGGGAGTGTAGCCACGTGTGCAATGGGCCCCATCTGCAGAGGGACAGTATGACAGTGGTTCACATAACATCTCAAAGACACCCACACATGGGTGGTTGTGGACATGGGTCTGTGGACACAGGTCTGGAAAGGCCTGGTTCTGTCCCAGGGCGTGCATGGTAATCCCACACAGCCTGTTCCACTGGTGGGGAGCCCTGTCCTGGAGCAGGCAGCACCCTCCTCTCTGCAGCCCAGGTTTCCAGGATGGTGCGCACCCGAAGGAAGGTGACCATGGGGCGCAGTGTGGGAGCTCAAGACCCAGGCCCTGCAGTCTATGCCAAGGTCCCCAGCTCCAAGGCACATAAAGGCCCACCCAAGCACTCAGCTCTCCCAGGGCAACCTCCTTCCCAGCAAGGCTTGCACTTTCCCAGAAAGCCTTGCATGAGACCAAGTAAGCTGGAGACCTGTGATCACCAGAGACCATCCAGAAGGATCTCGCAGAGTACCTGCGGCTGCCCAAAACTCCCACATGAAGCCTCTGCTGCTCCAGCAGCTCCACTGGGCCACCAATCCTCCCTCCCTGAACCTCCTTCTCCTCTGCCCCTCACACCCCAACCCTCCCTTTCTGGCCTCTCTCTCCTCTATCCCCTACACCCCACCCTTCCCTCTCTCCCTGGGCCTTCCTCTCCTCTGCCACCCACATCCACCACTCCCCTTCCTCCCTGGGCATCCCTCAGTGGGGATAGCATGGGCCAGATTCCTGCCCTCGTCCTCACCTCTCTGGCACCACACTGTGGTTCACCAAGCTCCAACCCCTCCGATCTCTTTCTCTCATTCTTGCCCTCGGTGCTGCTCTGCTCAGAGCTCAGGGCTCCTTCAGTCCTTGCTGGGCAGCTCAGGCACTCCTGGTCCATAGGAGCCTGGAACCTTCCTCCGGGCATTCTGTGCTTTCTGTAATTGTCAGGAGCAGGCCCGGGGTTCGGCAGCTTCTGTGATGACAGACTGGACTTCAGAGAGGATGTGTTCAGGTCCTCAGTGTCTCTGGGGTCTGTAACATGGACATGGCTGTCCAACCAGCTCTTGGGCTCAGGGATCAGGGATGGGGTGTAGAGAGGCCTTGTGTGTGCAGGCACAGGTGAAGATCTGTATGCACCCCAAGGAAGACCCACAGGCAGTGAGACTGAGTCATACCTTCCACACAGAGTAACCAGCTACGACTCGACTCGTTTCCTCACAAAATTCTTTCCTGATGAGTCACGTGAGTGAGAACCAGGTCTTTCTGAGGTGGAGACAGGCTGGCCTCCATGTTCCTGTCACTGCCTCAGCAAATGAGGCCCTAGACCATGCATGAGTAGAAGCTCTCAGGGTCACAGCCCCAGGCCCCACACACTGCACCTCCCTAGGGCCAGGCCCTCCTCACACCTCTCAGACTCCTGCTGGAAGAGATCCTGGACACTGCCGAATTCAGGCCACATGACCTGCTGGGCCCATACCTGTCATGCAACACGGTGACCACTTATGCCACCTCTGGCCCTGGTGCTAAGACAGAGCCACACTGTCCCAGCATGCCCAGCCCTGCAGCTGCACAGCTCTTCCTTCCCCCATCCATCCTATGGCCTCTGCGTGGGCCACTCCCAAACACAGGCCAGGCCCGCCACTTGCAAACATCAAGAAAAACAAAAACATGTCTTGACTTAGGTGCCTGAGCAGGAGGGAGAGCTGGCGGGCTGTTATGCAAGGGAATAACCTGGGCAAGGGAACAGCCCATGAAGCTAGGCAATAAGGAATACATGAGCAGGGGCTCAGCAAATGCCAGTTCCTCTTAGAGACTTCCAGTTCAGATTCCAGAAATTACAATAGGCTCAAAGCAAGAGATTCTAATCCAAGAACATCTCTAAGACCAATGAGAGCACACATGCTTGCACATGCTCACAAGCTCACATGCAGACACGTGTGGGTGCATGTGCTCTCAGAGAGAAATGCCTGGGCATGTAGCCACCACATGTGCATACCCCCCCATACAACCACCATATGTGTACATCCACACAAACTGACAAGTAAACATAGGTAGTCACAGACAGACATATAAAACCACATGGAGGAATGCCCAGGCTTATACTCTCCACACACATACACCAACCACACATACACATACTTATCTGTACCCCCCACAAGCACACCCCTCACACATGTGAACACCCCACACGTGCATACCCCCCACTGCACATCCTAAATACCTGCACATGTGTATACCCACACATGTGTATACCCACCACACACATGTATACCATACATGTATGTACACTCACCACATGGGTACACTAGCAATGTGCACATGTAGCACAACATATATATATCCAACAAACCATCCACCACACATATGCAAGTACACACAAAGCAGTATGATGTGGGACATCTGTGGGAGTCTGGCTGGAGCAGACCCCAATAGTTCATAGCAAAGCATGGAAGCAGAAACAAGAACAGTCACAGTGCATGGATCGAGCCACACCAGAGAGGAATGTTTTGGGGCTCCTGGTCATGCACAGAGACCTCAGCTAGGTCTGGGTGACTAGGTCCCAGAGGGGTCGGACACACTGGCCCACATGGCCCCAACTTTGGTATTCTTGCAGCACGGGCACTGCTGTCACAGAGAACAGAGCTGCAGCATGGTCTGGCCCCATCTGTGCAGGCTGCATGATAGAAAAAGGGTGAGCACTCACCTATGGCCAGGTAGATTTGTCAGGTTGTGCTGAAGCTCTGGGAAACTCTTGCTAGACTCAGCTTCCGGCAGTGAAGACAGAGAAGTGGTGAGGGGACAGGGGCCTGCCTACCTGTGTGGGGTGGGAAGTGTACGTGTCCGAAGGCCTCAGGCTCAGCACTGGGATGTATGGGGCGCTCTCCACACAACTGGCTCCTCTTCTCCACAGAGAACCCCCAGGGGCTGCTCTTCCTCCTCTCCTGGCCCTTCCTGCCAGCATCCCCACACTGGAGCTGTAGTGACTGAGGGCTCAGCAGGTGTCGGCTCTCTGCAAGGAGGAGGCAGTACTGCTGTACCACACCCTGGGCAGGTACCAAACCCCAGGCAGCACAGTGTGGGCCACAGGGAGTGACCATTCCAGAACAGGCCCACAGCAATGAACACACCAGGTAGAGCAGTCACATTGTAGACAGACCAGCCTGGATTGCTACATGGCTGTGGAAAGACCACCAAAAGCAGCTCCACAGGTGGACAGATCATCTGAACAGTAAAACGGCCATGGACAGACCATCAGAGCAGCTCCACGGATGTGGACAGACCATCTGGAGTAGCTACATGGTTATGGACAGACCACTTGGAGCGGCTACACCATGGTCATTGGAGATGCAGACAAGGCAGAAGCCACAGGGCTCAGACCCAGCCTAGCTGTGCCCACCCAGATGGTGCCTGTACAGAGAAAGCCATGAGGGTCCCAGAATAGACATGGCTACCATGGGACCAAGGTCACAGACCATCCTATTGAAAGAAGTCCTCTCCTCACAGGTACTGCTGTGCCAATGCACATGTGGAGACAGCCTGAGCCCTTCCCTCACTAGGGATTCCCCCCAAAACAACAGGACACCCCCACTCCAGAGCATCTCCAAGAAAGGGCCTGAGGTTTCTTTCACAGACGAAAAGCACCGCACCTCAAAGACTTGCAGCTACAGCTGAGTGGGCACATAGACACCAGGAGGGAGGCAGCAGAAGCCCAGCCTGAATTTCAGTGCACAGACCTTACAGGCACCCCAGAGGCCAGGGAGAACAGGGGCCCAGCCTCAAGGTTCATGCAGATCCCATGGGAACCCCCCAGGGAGAGGGGGCGGGATCAGATCTGAGGGAAGTCCTGAATGCACACAGCCCTGGCAGCTTCTCTTTGGGGTTCAGAGAAACCTGAGAGCAGCTGGGGGCAAGGCCCAACTGTCCACCAGGATCTGGTGCAGGAGTCTTAAGCGGCCCTCACCCTACCCTGTGCCCCAGGAGCTGTCCTTGGCCTGTCATGTGTCCCCAGGAGCTTGGGAAGTCATCTGGATGCTAGGATAGTCCCAAGCAGAGCACAGGAGGTGCCTGAATCAGTGTTCCAAGTGTGTACTCCAGCCTCCCGGTCTGTGAGCCCTGGTTCCATTCCAGCTTCTCATCTGCAGAGACACGGTGGTCATGTTCTGGAAGCATGGCTGGGATGAACATGCCAGCCAGCCTGTTCACCTACCATGGGAGGTGTGGCAGTCAGTCTCACGGTCCCGCTGGTTGGAGCCAGAGCTGCAGCTGCGCGGGGGGTTACTCAGATCCCACTCGCACTCAGCGATGAGGGTCAGCACTGCCTCGTCATCTGCATCCATCACCAGGGACTTCTTGGCACCAAGGTCTGCACTCTTGGCTCTCAAGGGGGGTGGTCTGGGAGGAAAGCAGGCAGCAATCACTCCAGATCCCCCATACCCATCCTGGGAGAGGGCAATGACCACAGCAGGGCCCAGCTTCCAGGCATGGAACCTAAAGGGAACCCACTGACCACAGAGGGTTCAGGCCTATTTTTATAAACTGCACATAAAAAACTTTTCTAATATTTTCTACCATCCCTTCCTTTAAAACACATTGCTCAACACACTAGAAAATGTTCTGCCTCCGCCCCCTCAGGACCATCCCCACTGCCAGAGCCACGATTCCCTTCTCTGAGCCCATCATGACAGGCCTCCAGGCACAAGGCCTCCCTGAGGCGTGTTTCCTCCACACTGAAGATCAGTCTGGGAATGTGCATGTTCTCAGAATCAGCTGATATAGAGCTTCCCAGTGGTTTCAGACGCCTATACCTCTGCACTGGCACTTAGCACCCCCTTTCCACATCAGGTGAAGAAGAATTTCTGAATCATCTAACTACCAGAGAGGTGTTGCGTCCTCAAGGGCAGCCTACTTCAATACACATGCACATCTGCCATGGCACTAATGGGTATCAGTCTCTCCACAGCCCCAGCATCCCTTCCCTGCAGACCGTGGGCACATGCTCAGCACAGCAAACCCTTAGACCATCTCCCCACTGAGCACCTGATCCCAGACAAGGGTGATGGGCAGGGATCTGCTCGAGCAGTGACAGTCGTCTATCACTTTTGATTCTGCTCCCCAAACTCTGTGGGACATCAGAGCTAGCACACTGGCAGAGAAACGTGTGTGTTAGGGGCCCTAGTGAATAAGCCACACAAGGTTAGAGCAAGGCAAGAGGACAGGACACTGTCAGAGCTGCAGTGAGCACCAGGCAAACACTGCTGTGCCATGTGTTGACATGAGGCAATAGGTATGTAAGACCACTACCGTGTCCACGGCCATTGCTGATGAAATCACTGTTGGGGACATGGATGACTGGATTGGGAAGAGGACTAGGTCTTAACCTTCCAGATGAAGAGACTGGACAACAGTCACAACCTGAAGGGAGCCTGAGGTATCTGTGTAACTGAAGAGCTAAAGATACTTGTGACTCTGATTCCAGAGGTGCTCAGGCAGAACAAGGGACTAAGCGTGGTAATGGGGCTGCCTGGCACTGGACAGTGGAGGTGTTTACTGAATGAGTATGACACTTACTTTCATAAGATGAAGAGTATTCTAGAGAACAATGGGTGTGAAGGATGAATATATTTAGATTTGTTTTTGGACCATACTTGACTATTCTCAGGGGACCATATATGGTGCTGGGAATTAAACCCGTGTTGGCCATGTGTAAGGTAAGCACCCTATGCACTGTACTATTGCTCTGGTCCCAAAAGACGAATGCATTTAATTCTATAAAATGGCTCACTTAGAAATAGTGACAATAAAAAATTTTTACTAAGTGTATTAGACCACAATTGAAAACAACTTTCTCAGGCAGGAGATGGGACACTGGGGACCTAATACCAAGTGCAGTGGCCAACACCTCACACACTGGAGTGGAGAAATCCACAGTCCCAAGCTCCAGCCACCAGCAACTCCTGCCTCTTTCCCAGGTTTGCCCTTGGCCACGCTTGAGCACAGGGAAGTCTCCTGTCTCTGGAATCTTCCCCAGGGCCTCACACCACAGCCCTACCTGCTATCTTGAAAAGTAATAGGGACACTCTTCTTCGAGTCCAGAGGTTCTTCTGCAGTGAAATGCAGCCAGGATGACTTCCGCTCACTCTCACGCACAGGGCGGTCATCTGTGGGGAAATCCATGGCCAAACTAGTAATGGGCACTGCCGGGCAGTGACTGGTTCCCAGAGGTACCTCCATCCTTTTGGGAGTGAGGTAGCCCATCCTATTATACACTGCAACCAGTGTACTACCTGCAACCTGCAACCTGCAGGTAGTATACCTGCAACCAGTGTACTACCACTTTCTCTGGAACAGGCCACCCCTGGGGGATGACCCTGCCATCAATGAGCCTGTGTGACTCTTGACCCAGTGACCATGCTGACACTGGGTCCCCAGTACGCCCTTCACAGACACTCTTCTAGAGCCTGGTGGGTCACCATGCCCGTAAGGCCCAATCTCACCTGCTTTCCTGTCAAAGTTCTGGCCACACCTGATAGGTCTCAGGTGCCCAGTGGCATCATCACCATGTACATGGATGCCAGTCCCCCGACAGGGGTTAGCCAGAGACATGCTTCCCTGTGTACCAGCAACTCCCGCATCCAGTAAACATTCAGGGGGTTCCCAAGTGGTCAAGTGCAGCACTGTGGGTCCGAATGCTTCCTCAGCAGAAAGGGACACAGAAGGCGGAGAAGCTCCCCAGGAGCTCTTGGAGCCAGCTGCTATGGGGAAGTGTTAACTGTGCCTTCCACCTCTCCTCCTGCCATCTGCGAGTGTCACGTGACCCAGTGGCACTCCAGGAGGAGACACATGCCCAGGGGCTCTAAGACCAGGCACAGGAAGTGAGGGGCATGCCTATGCCAAATAGCTAGGAATGATGGAGCATTTGCCTTACCCCAGTCCTGGGCACCTTCCCAGGCAGGACCCACCCACAAGGCTACAAGGTCCACAGGCACCAGGAAAAAGCCACCTCCCCCGACCCCGTGCTGCCCACCCAGCTGTCTGAGCTTTGGCAGCAGGTGCACCACGAATAGTCGGTAGTCAGACTCGTTCTTCACCACTGGATTCAGCCGAAAGTCCACCTCTGCCAGCTTGGTCAAGGGGTGTAGCCGGAACACCTCGGCTAGAGAGGAGATGCAGTTGTAGTAGAGATTGAGGCTTTCCAAAGCCACCAGGTACTGGATGCCCTGTGGATGGGACACAACACTCAAGTCCTTCTCACTCTGACATAAGAACAGGCCTAGGGGCCACTCACGACAGCTGGCCACCACTGTAACCGAACACTTGTCACAGACAACACTGAGTATGGGAAGACATGACAGTGACTAGCACTAGTATAGTGGTGTTTTCTGATGAGTGGTAGGCAGCAAAGCCCTCCATTCTGAGATATAAATGCCGCTGCTCTCAGATTCTCTGTTCTAGTAAGTGGGGAGCTGGAATGGGGCCCACTAGGAGACACAGTAATGATATCTTAGTCAGCCACAGGAGGCAATAAGCTCTAAGCTGTGAGCTCCCCTCTAGAATGTCTACACAGCAGGTCTCAGTGTCTGTGAGACAAAGCCCAGACACTGAGCAGATGTGAGCAACATCTGAACAAAAGAGAAATGCCTATCTGCAGTATTTCTAGCAATGTCTGCCTGTCATATTCTAACATCTGCTGTGACTCCTAGGCCTGTGTCTTATTCTCTTAACAAACTTTATCTGTAATTGCTCTGTAAATTCTTTTACAAACTTATACAACTGCTTGTCACTCCAAATATTTCACATCTGGGGAGACAGCAGTGAGGGAAGTTATGTGAGGAGATGGGAGTGGGGGTAGTCAGGTGTGGAGAGGACTGTGAGGAAAGTCGGGATGGGGGTGGTCAGGAGAGAGACGGGTGTGAGTACGGTCACGGTCACAGTCCTCCCATTTTTCATCAATTTGCTCGAGCGGGCCCAGTAACGTCTCCATCGTGAGACTTGTTGTTACTGTGTCTGGCATATCGAATACGTCATGGGTAGCTTGCCAGGCTTTGCCGTGCAGGCGAGATACTCTCGGTAGCTTGCTGGGCTCTCTGAGAGGGGCGGAGGAATCGAACCCAGCTCAGCCGGGCCGGCTGCGCACAAGGCAAACGCCCTACCCCTGTGCTATCGCTCCAGCCTGGGTGTGAGTAAAAGAATGTAAAGAACAGGAAGTCATGTGAAGTCATCCAGGGAGGTGGCTGTGAGGGAAGGCAGGTGGGAAGGTGGCTGTAAGGAAAGCTGGGTGCTATTCCTGCAACACTCTGAGGGACAGTTGACTGGCCGTCCTCAGGACTCACACAGCTGAGAGATGTCCCATCTACACCATCTGCATACAGCCCCTGGGTGAGCCCACCGCCACATCCATCCACATCAGAAAACCACAACTGTAGGGGCAGAGAACAAGGCTTCAGCTCTCATCAGGGTGCTCACTGCTGGAAGTACCTATCTCTTCCTGTCCTTCTGAACCAGACTGTGGTGTTTGGGGTGCAGGCATCAGTCAGATGAAAAATAGACACAAAGTTGAGGATGAGCTAGGAATGCTGGGCGGGGCCCCCACAGCCTGTAGCCTCCATTTTCTGTGCTCGTGGACACAGCCACAGCTTCTGGTCAAGGATGATGTGCCTGGGAAAGTGAATGTATTGCAAACCCAGGACAAAGCACACCCTTCACCCCACCACCCCAGCCCTGTCAGCACCAGAGCCCTTCACAGTGGTGGCAGCAGATGGCACTTCTGTGGCAACACTGGGCTCTTCACATACATGTGGAAAACTCACCTCCAGACTGACCAAGGAGTTGCGTGAGAGATCTAAGGATCTGAGACCAGTCAGATTCATCAGCGAGCTGCCCAGATGAGTGATTTTTTCTTGGTAAGTTCCAGGAATAGATAATGATCGAAGCTCAGCTAGGAAGAGAAAATGAGATTCTTGTTTTAGGCTATTTGTGTGTATGTATGTGGAGGGGCTCGGGGATTTTCCCTGACGGTGCTCAGGGAACCTCATGTGATGCCAAGAATCAAACTGAGGTGGGACTATTGCCTTATCTTTTGCACTATCTCTCAGGTCCCAATTTTAATTTATTTTAATTGAAAATAAGTCATAGCAATACAAGCAAGTAGCAAAATAACTCTGTAACCTGAAAAAACAAACACACACTAAAGAGCTTAACTGTAGGGAAAGGGAGCTGCTCAAGGGTTGGAGGGGGTGTGGAGGTCCGGGTGCCACCCTGATTAGATCTGTGGGGCCAGCCTGTGGAGCCTGAAGCAGTAGTGGGCCCAAGCACTGGACTGTCAGACTCACACAGCCAGGTTAACTATTGCTAGGAGGGGTTCCCTGGCACCCTAATGCAACTCACTCAAAACTCAAAGAGCAACATTGAAAGCAAGACCGCATGGTCATCATGAGCTTCTGTCCTTGTCAAGTGTTTCTGGTCTAGGTGCTCCTCCACATGGCTCCCAGCACACACTGCCTACACAGTCCAGCCTCCAGTAGAGCACAAGCAGGCTCTTGCTAAGCACAGTTTCTCCCTCTGCAGCAGGCTCCGCCTGGCCCATGTCATCCACAGCAGTGAATGAGCATCACAACAAAAAGGAGTTTCAGAACCAAAACCTCAGCAAGGGTCAGCATGCATCAATACTTCCCCAGGAACATGGATTTGCAAACCACCTTACTCAATTTTAAATCAGCTCCCTGCCATTGGTTCCAGACAATGCAGCAGACACAGGCCACCTGATTCTTTCCACTTATACCCCAAAGTCCTGAACAAAAACACAAAAAACCAGCCTGAGAAGTCTGGAGAGGTGGCAGCAACAGCTTTTTTATCTTTTTGTTTCTGAGATTTCCAGTTACTGTTCCTTTACCAGCTGTTCACTGTGTGGTCCTGGTGAGCAAGGGTACAGCCCCCAATCTGCCCATACATCTAACAAGTACTTTGCAGCTAGAAAATAACTGCTAGCTGGACTGGAGCAATAGACAGCAGGCAGGGTGCTTGCATTGCATGTATCTGATACAGGTTCAATTCCTGGTACCAGGTATGGTCCCCTGAGCACCATCAGGCATGATCCCTGAGTGTACAGCCAAAGTTCTGAGCACCACTGGGTATGGCCCCAAACTGCCCCCCCCCAAAATATTAACTGCTGGAAAAAAACATTTCAGTGAGTAATTACAATCTTGAAACAAATGCAAAGGGGGAAAAATATGGTAAAGACACAAAGAGATAAGGATGAAATAACCAGAAATCTCAGAAATGAATGCCACACAAAAAAAGATAAAAAAGAAAGACAGAACCAGGATGGGGGTGGGCTAGGCACATGCCTTAAATAAGACTAATTCTGATTTGATCCCTGGTACTGCATGTAGCCCCCTGAGCCCTATCAAGTGTGATCCCTAATCATCAATTGGTATGGCCCCAAAAACCTAAAAATTTTTTTAAAACATAAACAGAATGAGAAGCACTGAATGTGAAGTAACAGCCATTTCATCAGTGGCTCAGGGGACAGAATGATCAAAACAGTCTCCATGACCAACAGTGAGAAGAGATATAAAAACTGCACTAAGCCTCAGTGACCCACAAAAAAAAAAAAGGCCTAAAAAGCCTGAGAAACAAAGAGCTTGAGACTGGCCTCTGAGTCCCATGAAGGAAGACAGAGGCACTAGTAGCGTGAGTCAAAGGCAGTGTCTCTGAGCAAGTTTAAAGCAGCTAGAAAATAACTGCTGGCTGGACTGGAACGATCGACAGCAGGCAGGATGCTTGCATTGCATATGTCTGACCCAGGTGACTGGGTGATATGTATATATACATATATATGTATATGTATACACATGTATGTATGTATACAGTGATGACTATACAATGTCATCACTCATGCAGACCCAGATCTGGGAGAAAGTAGCTAGGAAAACTAAATGATGGGGGTTTGGGGGTGGTTAAGTACTCTCCTAAGGGTAAGGCTCCCTCAGTGGTCAAGCGTCCATTCAAGCAGACTGTACTCATGCCAGAATTGGAATGATTGTGCAGAGGCACCACCATTAAAGGCTCAATATGTGCTCAATAATGCAAAAGATGGGGGGTGTGGGCAGAGCAATAGGACAGCAAGCAGAGCACTTGCCTTGCATACGAATGACCAGGGTTTGATCCCAGACACCAACAAATGATCCCCCAAGCCCTGCCAGGAGTGATCTCTCAGTGCAGAGCCCCAAAACAACAACAACAAAGCAAAAGACAAATCAGGATGTAATTCCAAAAGCTACAAACACGTGAAAATGACTTCACACACACACACACACACACACACACACATTCTACAACCCACAGTTTGAAAAGGAAGAGTCAGGGAAATACTGAGATGATGCAGTACAAGACAACCTGAGCTGGTAGCAACGAATGTTTACATTACAAAGTTATTCTCTAATCAACTCTGTTCATCTGAGAATCTCAGAGTGTAATAAAGCCAAGTGGGCAGAAAGTAAAAAAAAACAGTAAAGAGCAAAATCTATGAAGTTTAAAACTAAAAAGATATTGGTGGAAATGGCCAGCAAAAATCAAGAGGGACACAAGTCACCAATAGCAGGAAGGGTGGAGGGTGCCACCACAGACACCAGTAACTAGACAGTGGTACTGCGAAAGCCAGAACCACTGTGTCACAGCAGCAGTGTAGAGATGGCCGTCTCTGGAGTAATTCTACACCTAGCTACACCAAGCGAAGAAAGGGATCCTAGCACTCACCACAGCCCCCGTGGGACTGCTCCAGGGCCTTAATAAAAAGCCTGACTTGCTACTCCCCAAGGCCCATTAAGTCTAGCAGGCCTCAAGCTGCACCTCAAGCTCTCAGCCTGCCACGCCCCTCAAATCTACTCCTCACCCTCTGGGACCCGCCCACCACTCACCCTCAGGCCTGTCCTCGGGCTCTAGGACCCGACCCCCCCCCCCACACACACACCCACAGACCACCCCAAAGCCCCTCAGGCCCACTCTTCACCACTTCAGACCCACAACCCACTCACTCAGGGCCCCCTCCCTCACATACCCTTCAGACACGCCCCTCACGCTCTAGGGCCCACCCCTTACATCCCCTCAAGGCTCACCCCTCAATCCTCAGACCTCCCCCCCATGCCCCTTCAAGCCCTCCCCTCACCGCCTCACCGCAACAGACCCACCCTCCATGCCCCCTCAGAGCCGACCCTCAATACCTCACCCCCTCAAGGCCCGCCCCTCAACCCTCAGACCTGCCCCCATCCTCTCAGGCAGGTCCCTTAACCCCTCAGCCCCTCAAACCCAGCCCCCAAACCCTCAGGCAGGTCCCTCACCACCTCAGCCCCTCAAATCCAGCACCCAAACCCTCTCAGGCCCACCCCTCACCCCCTCAAACCTAGCCCCCAACCCCTCGGGCCCGTCCCTCACTCCCTCAGGCCTTCTCCTCACCCCCTCAGTTCCAGCCCCCAACCCCTCAGACCCAGTCCCCAATCCCTCAGGCACGCCCTTTACCCCCTCAGACCCGCCCCTCAACCCCTCCGGCGTGCCCCTCACCCCCTCAGACCCAGCCCCCAACCCCTCAGACCTGCCTCTCACCCCTCAGACCCGCCCCTCAACCCTCAGACCCAGTCCCCAACCCCTCAGGCCCGCCCCTCACCCCTGAGACCCAGCCCCCAACCCCTCAGGCCCAGTCCTCAACACCTCAGACCCTCCCCTCACCCCCTCAAGCCCGCCCCCAAGCCCTCAGGCCCACTCCTCACCCTCGCGGACCCGCCCCCGCACCTCAGGCCAGCCCCTTGCCCCCCAGCACAGCCCCCCGCGCCTTCAGACGCTCCATTCGGCTCCCTCCCAGGTCCGGGTGCCGGCGCCCTAGATCTGTCCTGCCTGTGTTGCGCACCCAGGTCGCGGTGAGGAGCCAGGCCAATTTTCTCCCGAATCGTCTCCTCAAACAGCACAAATCGCTGGCCGGCTGGCGCCATGTTTTCAAACGGCAAAACTCGGGCCCGCGCCTGCGCAGTGGGGCGCCTGGGCCTCGGCGGGGGCGGGGCCTGAGGGGAGGGGCCGGGTTAGCGGGGCGGGACCTGCGGTGAAGGGCGGGGCCTGCGGCGAGGGGCGGGGCCGGTCGGCGAGGGGCGGGGCTTGAAGGCGGGGCCATGTCGGCGGGGCGTGGCCGGAGGCGAAGGGCGGGTCCTGAGGGGAGGGGCCAGGGGTGGGGCCACGCCAGTGGGGCGGGGCCGGCGGCGAGGGGCGGGGCCGGCGGCGGGGGGCCAGGCCAGCTGGGCCGGGAGGCACAGGGACGGCCACCGCCCTCCCTCGCTGCCTGCAGGAGGCTCTGCAGAGCTTCAGGGCGAGAGCCTGCGCGTCTGAGAGGAACTGCGCCTCACTGCGGACCGCTACACCAGTCCCCAGCGTGTCCCCAGCCTAGACTATTTGTGTCAGGCTCCTCTGGTTCTGACTCGGATGGCATCGGCCTCTCTGTCTTCTCCTGTTCCCTGGCTCCCTCTCCGTTCCCCTCTTCAGCTTCCCGGGGCTCCTGGGGTCCTCTTGTGCTCATGGGTGACCAGGTGCTGGTCCCAATGGGACCCTGACTTATGTAAAAGGTCAGGAGACTCATAGCTGTGGTTCCAAGGCATGTGGAGGGCATCTTTAGGGTAACTAAATTCTAAAGGGGGAGGAGGACACCCACGGGTGCAGGTATGCCAAGGGGGTGAGTGCCTCTCACTCCTGCCTCACTGCAGGGCTTCAGGAGGACCTGTCCCAGGAGGGAGCCCACGTGGGAGGCAGCACTCTCCTGCACTCCCTGACCCCAGCTCCTGGCCAGCCCTGTGATCTGCACTCCGCAGGCTAGCTGTCCCACCTCTGCCCGCAGCCCTGCACCCAGGGCAGCAGGGCAACTGGGAATGGTACCCCCCACCCCACCTCAGAAGCAAGGTCTGCAGGTGGCAATCGCGGCCTCTCCAGAGAGATTTACCCCTCGTGCCCAGATTGGAGGGGGAGAAAGGAGGTGGACAGGCTGGGCCGGAACCTCCTATGTGTCCTGCCCACCAGCAGCTTTTTGTGCTGTGCCCCTCATGTCTGCGGGGATCAGATGTCTCTCTGGCAGAAAGGCCAGCTTGTCCCCCAGGGTTGATGCTGTTTTCTGTGTTGACTTAACCCCAGGCAACTGTGTGGGAACCTCAGTCCCTGCACAGATTGCCTTCAAAGTCCCCTCAGTCTCCGTGGCAGGAAGCAGTACCCTTTTAAAAACCAATTAGCCACACAATTTTGCACATTAAATAGAGATCTTTGCTTTGGACCCAAACAGCACCTAAGATACAAGGAACAATGGGGCTGACTGAGGCGCCCAGCTCCAGCCCCTTCCGGCTCGGCCTTTGAAGTCCCGGGGCAGCACCTGCTCAGGTGACCCTGCTGGAGGCACGCCCACTGAGCTCTGCCCTGGGCCAGTAGTCTGCAGCAGGTCCCTTCTCCTGGAACCCCATGGAGAAGGTGTGACCTGAGAGGTTCCCTGAGAGAGATGGGATGGGGTGGCAGGGCCCAGCGAAGGTCTTCTTTCTCTTGCCCCCGCCATGTCCACCCCTACTCATGACCTGTCTCTGGAGCCTCTACCGCTGGCCAGGTGGGGCTCCCGATGTCCATGGGCAGGGCTTCCGGTGGAGCACTGGTCATGTGTGTTAAAGGAGCCTATATTCAGCTCTTCTCCCCAGCGCTCACTGGCCCATCCCTGGCCTGGGTGCTGGTGCACAGGGACCCTCCTGACCCCTGCCATCTAGCTCAGGTTGTCTCAGCCCTGAGTGTGCAGGTAAAGGTGGGGTGGGAAAGAGTGACAGGACAGATGTCAGGCAGCCGGGATGGAGCAGAGCTGACCTTCCCTCCGGGGATCCAGGGAACATGTTCCAGGCAGCGAAGCAAGAGGGAAGGGTCCTGCCTGAGGGTCACAGTCAGATGATTCGGCTGCCCAGATGACCTCCTGCGGCGTGAGTGCGAGTCCCTGATCCTGCACCCTCACTCCACCATGTCTGTTCCTGCTGTGGTCCTGGTCACTGTCCAGTCACTTCTGCCATGCAGACATAGCGCTCTCATCTCTGGGGTGTAGACACGGCTCTTTTCTCTAGGGTGTAGGCAGAGCTCTCATCTCTCTGTGGTATAGACACAGCTCTCATCTCTGGGATGTAGACACAGCTCTTGTCTCTCTGTTGTGTAGACACAGCTCTTGTCTCTCTGTGCCTCTGCCTTTCTCAGGAGATGGCTTCTGTTCTGAGTGTAACAGCTGCTTCTGGAAGGTTCTACATGCACAGTCCTTCATACGCCATGGGCTGTACTCACAGGCCCCTGACATGCTGGGCTGTCACTGCTCCACTGAAATTCTGCTGGTCAGCGTTCCCAAGTCAAAAGTGGCTTTTCATCTCCCCTGCATGTTCTTGGGCGTAAATTTAGGATGCTGTCCTACACAGGATGGTGCTGGGTCCCAGATCCCACTCCCTGATCCCACCCGGCGGGGGCGGTGGTAGTCTTGGGAGCAATGAGGGGATGCTGCTTTCTGCTTGGTTCTCTTCAAGGATGTAGATTTGGGGGTTGTCACTGGTGGTCTTGTTTCTGGAAAGAGGACAGCAGCAGGCCAGGCTGGGGCCCCCTGGAGGGTGTGTCAAAGTGTACAGGTGAGCGCGCGCCCACCTGCTTCCCAACCTCCAGCCCTGTTTCCCAGTGACCCTTTCCTCCTGTCCTCCCAGCTCTGTCCTTGGCCGCCCCCACTGTGTTTCTCTTACCTGCCCGAGGGGGGTGGGGGGTAGGGGGACGACTGTGTCTGAGTTTATGGAAAATACCAAGGCCCTGATTCACCATTAATCAGTCAGCCTATGCATTCATTCGACAAGTTTATCTTTCTAAGAAATTGTTCAGATTCTTTCAAAGGTAGGGCTGATGCTCTTTGAAACTCAAGAAAATCAGGCTGAGCACAGCTCAAGGGTTGGATGCAGGTCCAGCTTGCATGAGGCCCAAGCCTCATCCCAGGACCCACATGGTCCCCCAGCCCCACTGCCGCCCCCACCTGGGTAGTGCCACCTCGAGCCCTAGTATTCAGTCACCTGTGTGGTTGACTCACTGTCTCCAGAGTGTCCCTTTGCCCCTGAGAGGTACCTTGGGAGGGGTACCCACATAAAGGAAAGAGAAACTAGTAGGAATCCACATCATGCCGCCTTGCCTTTGGTGGTCCTGCGGCCACTTTGTCCTCTTCCCATGTGGCCTCTCCTCACGTGGCCAGTGGGGTGTCAGGCAGACAGTCTGTCCGTTCAGAGTGGGCTGTGACTTGGAACTGAGCACAGCTCAGATTCTTTTTCTGAGACACCACAGCCTCCTCGGGGGGCTGAGAGTGGGCCATCAGTTTCATGCTGGCCTTGGGGCGAGACCAGGGCGTGACTGAGGCTGGACACATAGAGGTGAGGCTCCTGGATTTCCCCTGCGGTCTGTGGTTGGTGAGTGTTTCAGGTGGACATGGGGGGGCCTAGATGCTGTACACAGCAGGGCTGTTCTGGGCTCGGCCTGGCTTCAGGATCACACTGTGTGTCCCCTTCACCCTGTGGGGCCCAGCCTGGCCGGTACTGCTCCTGTGTGGGGACTGTCAAAAAAGCAGATCTTTAGCATCCCCTCGAGGTCTGGTGGCCGTGTGGCACCAGCCCCTACTCTGAGCTCCTGCTGACTGTTGGGCTGTTGGGAGTAAGCAGGGAGCTGCTTGGAGCCTGTGATGGGTGGGGTGCCTTCCTGCTGGGTCATTGCTCCCACCCAATGCCTGAAAGTCCAAACGTGTGCGTTGTCTGAGGGGTTCTTTCTGCTCACACCGTGGGGTGCTGGGGTATGTGCAGGTGGTCTTATGGGCAGCCCTTTCAGCAGGGCCTGGCCTGGAACGAGTGCAGTACCAGGGCCCTGTGCCTGTTCCCTGCCCAAGCAATGCCACTCCTGGGAATATACCCCGGAGAAGCAAAAATGTGTAGTCAAAGTGACATCTGCACTTGTTTGCTCATTGCAGCACAATCTTTCTATGTCTGTCCCTCTCTTTCTGACTCATTTCACTTAGCATGATACTTTCCATGTAGTACCACTTGTATGTGAATTTCATGACTTCATCCTTTCTAACAGCTACATAGTACTCCATTGTGTATATGTAGCAAAGTTTCTTTAACCAGTCATCTGTTCTCTGGCACTCAGGTTTTTTCCAGATTCTATTTATGTGTGTGTGAGGGTGTGCTCATAGACATGTGTGTCTTCGTGCATCCTGTGAGTGTGCACTCTTGGATATGTGCTCTCAGACTTATGTGTACATGCATGTGTGTGCTCTAGACATGTATGCATGCATGTATGTGCCGAATGTGTGAGAGTACACTCTCAGACATGTGTGCATGTGTGTACAGTGCACACTCAGACCTGTGTGTTTGTGTGCAAGTGCATGTTCTCAGACAAATGCACATGTAAAGTGTGTGCTGCATGTGCGAAAATGCAGTCTCAGAATGTGTGCGTGTGTGTGCACTCAGGTATTGGGCACTTGTATGTGTGTATGTATGTGCTCTCAGATATGTGTACATGTTTGTGAGAGTGCGCTCTCAGACATGTGTGTGAGTGTATGCCCAGATGCGTGTACATGCATGCTCTCAGATGTGTGTGCAAGTGTGTGTATATGTGTGAGCGTGTTCTCTCAGGTGTGTGCATGCATGTATGTGAGAGAGTGCTCTCAGACACGTGTGTACAGGTGTGACTTTGTTCTCATACGTGTGTGTGCCTGTGCATGAGTGTATGCTCTCAGGTGTGTGTGCACGTGTGTGAGTGCATGATCTCAGGTGTGTGTGCGTGTGTGTGTATGCTCTGAGACATGTGTGCATGCATACATGTGAGCTCCCAGATGTGTGTGCATGTGTGTGAGTGTGTGTTCTCAGACATGTGTGCAGAAGGACGGTGCAAGGAGGCCTGGGCTTGGCTTTCTGCTACTGAGCGCTCAGATG